AGCCCCTGTGACCCGGACTCTCAGGGATCCGGCAGGAATTGCTCCTTTGCTCGGCAGCTGTCTCAAGGCGCCTGTGCGGCAGTGGTCCTGCTGTTGGGCTGCTTCACGACGTTTTTGTCCACAACGCACTGTGCATACAGTGGTGGTCCGCTGAGATGATCAGACTGTGTTTTTACTTCCTTTTTTGTGCTGAGACATATACTTGCCGTTGTGTTACAGTGGCCTCAAGTATCTGGGACAGTACCATGGTGTCCAAGTTTGTAGCCTGGAAGCAGTGGGCTCTCCCAACAGCCCTGGTGTGTGGTAGGCTGTGCCTTCCAGGAGTGTGTGTGTGCACTCGGACAGCACAGTGACAAGGTCGCCTAACGATGTGTTGTTTCCCAGACCTGTCTCTGTCATTAAGCAGTGCGTGACTGCATGTTGTACAATTTTGTAAGGTGTAGACTAACATGTAGAGAAGCGTTTGCGTAGAGTGCTTAATTCTGATTATACCCTAAGCATGTAGAGTTACCTGGTGTGTATCTGTTTTCTGTAAATGTCACGGCAGTGGCCCAGTCGAGGGGCCTGGTGGTGACTCTGCCTGGCAGCTCGCCCTGCTTGGAGCTCCATCCTGCATGCAGCTCCTGAGTCTCGAGGCAGCTGCCCCCACGACATTCCCCTGTATTTTGTGCTGTCCATAGGCCTCTGACTGAGGAGGACATGTGGATTTTTTAAGACTCCATATTTAGGAATGATAGCAGTTGAAAAGCCTGTTGGGGATTCAAATATGAATGGGCTTTTTAAAGTAGCTTTATTTTTCTAAAGAGGGACGTGGAATCTTTTTATAGAAAAATTTTCCCTTTTTAGGTAGGAAGCACAGTGATATTTGGCTACTGCCACAAAAAGTTAATTGAGTCCTTTGTGTCAGCCAGAGGATGAGACTCTGGTGGGATTCCCATGCAGGCAGCAGCAGGAGGCCCTGCCCCAGCACGGTTAGGGCAGCCGGGGGCACCCCTCAGTGACGGGGCTGCTGCAGGCCCCAGGCCTGTGTTCCTTTGCTGGATGGGGACGGCAGTGGCAGCACTCGGTTCTCCTGTTTTTTTTGAAGCGGACTTGGATGCACACACACTGGTTTAGTTTTATTTTTGAGACGGAGTCTTGCTGTGTCGCCCAGGCTGGAGTGCAGTGGCTTGATCTCTGCTCACTGCAAGCTCCGTCTCCCAGGTTCACGCCATTCTCCTGCCTCAGCCTCCCGCCACCTTGCCCAGCTAATTTTTTGTATTGTTACTAGAGACGAGGTTTCAGTACTGGTTTAGATTTGGAGGAAGGTCTGATCCTCAGATTGTTCTTATAAAGTAATGCATCAGGAAATTCGTCAGGAGGGGCGTTCGTTTCTTGCTCCGTATGTGTGGGGTTTTCTTCCAATTGACTGGTGTAGTATGTTTGCTGGATGGCCGTGTCCCTGGGGTGCCCAGCCCGGAGGGGATGGAGCTGCTTTGGAGTCTCTGGAACTGTGAAGTGAGGCCAGCTTGCTGGACTCTAGAGAAACTTAGTGAGCTGAGATCCTGCTAGGTGTCAGTATGTGAGGGGCCACCCCAAAGGCTCTTGCCAGCTCCAGGTTGGATTAGTAGAATTGGTGTCTGGCAAAAGGTACTGACTGCTTCTGGTTGACATTCCATGGATGGGTGTGGTGGTCATTCTGAGTGATACATTAAAAGGGATGCTGATATGATGGAGGATGCTAGAGGAGAGAAGCTGGTGGGACCCTGCGTTTGAACAGTGAGAAGCGAATTCGTTCCAGCTTGGGGCAAGCAAGGATCCCTAGCAGTCACCCTGACGATGCAGTGAATTCTGTCTCTAAAGTCCAGTAAACTTGGATGAGATCACTCAAGCTTCCTTTTACATTTGAGATTCCATGTCTTGATGTGTTTTCTTTGTGTGTGTGTGTTTTTTTTTTTTTTTTTTTTTTTTTTTTTTTTTTTTTTTGAGATGAAGTCTTGCTCTCGCCCAGACTGGAGTGCAGTGGCTCATTCTCAGCTCATTACAGCCTCCGCCTCCCAGGTTCAAGCGATTCTCCTGCCTCAGCCTCCTGAGTAGCTGGGATTACAGGCGCCTGCACCTGGCTAATTACTGTATTTTTAGTAGAGACAGGGTTTCACCATGTTGTAAGGCTGCGGCTGCTCTTGAACTCTTGACCTTGTGATCGCCCACCTTGGCCTCCCAAAGTGCTGGGATTACAGGCGTGAGCCACTGTGCCTGGCCATCTTGATATGTTTTTTAGGGTACCTGCCCATTGGTGGGCTTTTACATAAAACCCTGTAAGTGGGTTTTGGGGACAGTTGTGTAACATGCACAAAAAATAAATGGAGGAAGAATGCATTACCTAAATAGGCACTGACTTGTGTGATTGAAGCTGTAACCATCCTTTGCAGCCCAGAGTCGCTGTGACCTGTGTGGAGAGGGGGGAGGTCCAGGTGGAGAGCGGGTGTGAAAGCCACAGAGGATCCCAGGGACGAGTGGATTCCTAAGTAGGAGGTGAGGCGGGTCATCAGTGAGGATCCCAGGGAGTGGCTGTAGTGACTGTGCCCACCAACCCTCCTTAAGGCCCTGCCCTGGTACTTGTGGCTTTAGGAGATTTCCTGGGTAGTCCCAGCACACACAGCCTGTTCGGGCCGATGTTGCAGCCCAGAGCCATTCCTGTGTGCCCGGCCTCCTCTGTGCCTGGGCGCCCTGCACATCCGCGGCAGGCGTAAGCACCTCTGCGAGCTTTCTGAGCACCTGCTCGCCAGCGCCTCCTCCCCACCCCTCTCTGTTTCATTGCTCCTCTCTCTGGTTGTGACAGTTGTGCCTGTTCACTGGAGGACTGCTGGGAGATGCAGGAAAGAATCAAGATGAGAAAACCACTGAGAACCCTCCATGTAGAAGCTGGGATAGGATTTGCTTTGCACCTGCCTTTTCACTTATAGAAGCTGGGATAGGATTTGCTTTGCACCTGCCTTTTCACCTACTGCGACATGCAGTATTATAAAGAATCTGACTCTTAAACATCTTTGTCAAGTTGATAGAACAAAATGGTATCTCTGCTTTATTTGAAATTATTTGATTACTAGGGAGGTTGATTATAGTTTTGTTTTTATTATTTGTATATATTTTTAAGGTTTTAAATTTGATTTTTGTATTTTTTTAATGCCATGTATTTTTATATCAGTTTTATTGAGGCATGATTACATTAAAATTCAATAAAATGCACATGTACACTTAGATGAGTGTTAAGAAATATGCACACTTGGCCGGGCATGGTGGCTCACGCCTGTCATCCCAGCACTTCGGGTGGCCGAGGCGGGCGGATCACCTAAGGTCAGGAGTTTGAGACCAACCGGACCAATATGATGAAACCCTGTATCTACTAAAAATACAAGAATTAGCCGGTCGTGGTGGCAGGCAGCTGTAATCCCAGCTACTTGGGAGGCTGAGACAGGAGAATTGCTTGAACCCAGGAGGCAGAGGTTGCAGTGAGCCGAGATTGCCGCCACTGCACTCCAGCCTGGGCAACAAGAACGAAACTCTGTCTCAAAAAAAAAAAAAGAAATATGCATACTTATGTAATTCCCACCACAGTCAAGATGTGACCCCGTCTCACCACCCCAGAGAGCTGTAGTTGGTTCTCTCCCAGCCCCTGCCCCGGGCAGCCACCCTGGGCCAAAGACGGATCTCGCCTTTAAAACGCTCATGTGCATGGAGTCCAGCAGAACCTGCTTTCTATGTTTTTAAGATTCATGCACATTGCTGTGTGCATCAGTAAACGATTCCTTTTTTCTGAGAAGTCCTCCCCCATGTGGGGAGCACCACACGCTGAGGGACAGCTGGGCTGCTGGCGGTGACACTTACCAGAGCATCTGTAAACATGTGCACGTCCGTCTGTGCGGACCGGTGTTTTCCTTTCTCTTGAGTAAATGTCTAGCGTCAGATTGCTAAGCTGTGCGCTAAGTTTATGTTTCACATGACAAGAAACAGTCCCTGTGGTTTCACTGTCTTAGATTCTCACCGGTGGTTTCACTGTCTTACGTTCTCACTGGTGCCATGGCTCCAGCTGCCCCGTGTCCTTGCCAGCACTTGATATTGTCTTGATCTCAGGTGCCCAGCCACGTGTGGTTGGAGGTCACTGTGGACTTGGCATGTGTTTTCCCTGACCACTCATGATGTTGGGCATCTTTTCCTTTTTTCATTGGCCATTTTCCATCTTTTTTTCCTTCATTTTTCTAACGAACTTTCTGATCAAATTTTTTGCCTGTATTTTTATGGAGTCATTTATCTTACTATTAAGATAGAATTCTGGGCTGGGCAGTGGCTCATGCCTGTAATCTCAGCACTTTGGGAGGCCGAGGCGAGCAGATCACTTGAGGTCAGGAGTTCGAGACCAGTCTGGCTAACATGGCGAAACCCCATCTCTACTAGAAATACAAAAAAGTCAGCCGAGTGTGGTGCTGCACGCCTGTAATCCCAGCTACCTGGGAGGCTGAGGCAGGAGAACCACTTGAACCCGGGAGGCAGAGGTTGTGGTGAGCCGAGATCTGGCCACTGCATTCCAGCCTGGGCGACAGAGGGAGACTCCATCTTAAAAAAAAAAAAAGATAGATTCTGGATACAAGTCATTTGTCAGTCATATGTTTTAAAATATTTCTCCCCGTCTGTCGCTTGCCTTTTTATTTTCTGATGGTGTATTTTTGAAGTTTTTTTTATTTTGGCAGAGTCCAGTTTATAATATCCTACCTAGGAAATCTTTATGCAGTCCCAGGTCTTGGAGACGGTCTCCTGCTTTATTCTTGATGTTTGAGCATAGCTAGCTGGGCTCTTAGCAGGATGGTTTGGTAGCTCGTGGATCAGATTAAATGGTATTTAATTTGTGAACACTAAGTGCTCACAAAACAGAAATCAGTGTAAAAATTGGGTTTTTTTTGTTGTTTTTAGAGCAACCAGAAATTAAGCAAGTTGATGGTGTCTTTTTGTTTCTTTCATTTTAGATCAACAGGGGGTCCTTCGGGTCGGAGTGGACATCGGATGGTGGCCTGGAAGAGACAGTTGATCCTTTTTGGTGGCTTCCATGAGAGTACACGGTTGGTATCAAGAATGGAAAAATCTTTCTCCCCTGAAGCATTAAGGAATGGGCTTTTTATGGGAAGAACATTCTGAATACATAAGACGCACTCATCCTCCCAAATCCAGCTTCACGGGACTGTGGCTTGGGCAGCCACACAGGACCTTGCCCTCCAAAGGGCCTCACACCGGCTTCATGCTGTATTCCTATTGAAATTCGTAACCATTGTTGAACAAGGGACCCCACATTTTAATTTTACACCAGGCCCTGCAAATGATGTGGCTAGTTGTATCTAAAATGGGGTTTTGGCTGGGCATGGTGCCTCACGCCTGTAATCCCAGCACTTTGGGAGGCTGAGGCGGGTGGATCACTTGCGGTCAGGAGTTCGAAACCAACCTGGCCAACATAGTGAAACCTTGTCTCTACTAAAAATACAAAAACTGGCCAGGCATGGTGGCAGGGGCCTGTAATCTCAGCTGTTCAGGAGGCTGAGGCAGGAGAATCGCTTGAACCCAGGAGATGGAAGTTGCAGTGAGTTGAGATCGTGCCACTGCACTCCAGCCTGGGTGACAAAGAGATTTTGTTTGGGGAAAAAAAAAATAAATAAATAAAATGGGATTCTCAAACATTCGCCTGATTCAGAATACCCTGGAGGGCTGGTTAGAGTGCTGATCGCAGCTCTGACTCAGAGGCCTGGAGTGAGGCCCAAGAATCTGCGTTTTAACAAGCTCCCGGGTGATGCTGATGTTGCTGGCCAGGGGACCTCACTTTGAGAGCCACGGGTCTGGGATCACTTCAAAACACTCCTGTCCGGGAGAGCAGCGGCAGCACACCCTCCACAGCGATGCCAGAAGAGGAGGCCTGTACTTCTCTTCTGATGTCACATGGATGTTTGTGTAGCCGGCATGGCTGCCCAGGGTGAGCTGCCTGCTCTCTCATTGTTTTAGGCCTGTCATCTGCTCGCATACCTTCTTGAGCTTCCTTAGTTCAGTCTAGAAAAGCAAGACACGGGGAGCTGGTTGTGCCTGTTTCTGTCCTAAGCACAGTAGCGTTCTAGGTGAAGTGTCGCAGACTCTGTGATCCTGGTGAAGGCTATCTTTGAAGGGCTTTCTGCTGGCCTTGTGGTGTCAGAGACAGTGGCTGTCTTTATCCCCGGGGCCTCGTTTGAAGCTCTCTTTCTCTACTGGTCCCTTTGGAAACAGCATTGCAACTGATTATGACGGTGCCAGTCACAGCTTTGTTACATTGTGAGTCCAGTTGCATGCTCTGGTGATTCTTGGTCCGTGGTGATAAGTCTGTACAGCTTCCCAAAGTGGTGGGATTTCAGGCGTGAGCCACCGCACCCGGCCAGGTTTCAGATTTTCTTCACTGATACATTCTCATTAATTCTGTGAATTGAGGGGAAAAGGAATCCAAATTCTTAAATACTTTGCAAGGGGGAAAATTTTGAAAATGTAATTCAAACTAAAAAATATTTAAGGCTGGGCACGGTGGCTCACACTTGTAATCCCAGCACTTTGGGAGCCTGAGGTGGACGGATCACTTGAGGCCAAAAGTTCGAGACCAGCCTGGCCAACATGGCGAAAACTCATCTCTACTTCAAACAAATTAGCCAGGTGTGGTGGTGCGTACCTGTAATCCCAGGCACTCGGTAGACTGAGGCAAGAGAATTGCTTGAACCAGGGAGGCGGAGGTTGAAGTGAGCCAAGATTGCACCACTGCACTCCAGCCTGGGCAACACAATGAGACTCTGTCTCAAAAAAAAAAAAAAAAAAAAAAAAAATCTTAGTCCATTTTGTGTGGCTGTAACAGAATACCTGAGACTAGTTAATTTCAAAAAAAGAGGTTTAGCTTTATACCAGCCCACTCTCAGGAACTAATGCCATGCTGCAAGAATGAAATCAGAACAGCGCCCAGCCACTCACGAGAGATCTGTCTCCTGAACCACACCCCTCTCCCAGCCCCTCCCAGCACTGCCGCCCCGACACACACCCCTCTCCCAGCACTGCCGCCCCCTGACACACACCCCTCTCCCAGCACTGCCGCCCCCTGACACACACCCCTCTCCCAGCACTGCCGCCCCGACACACACCCCTCTCCCAGCCCCCTCCCAGCACTGCCGCCCCCTGACACACACCCCTCTCCCAGCCCCTCCCAGCACTGCCGCCCCCTGACACACACCCCTCTCCCAGCACTGCCGCCCCGACACACAACCCCTTCCCAGCCCCTCCCAGCACTGCCGCCCCCTGACACACACCCCTCTCCCAGCCCCTCTCCCAGCGCTGCCGCCCCCTGACACACACCCTTCTCCCAGCCCCTTTTCCAGCACTGCCGCCCCCGACACCCCTCCCAGCCCCTTTCCCAGCACTGCCGCCCCCTGACACACACCCCTCCCAGCCCCTCTCCCAGCGCTGCCATTTTGGGGATCACATTTCAGCATGAGTTTTGGTGGGGACAAACTCAAACCATAACAAGTAATGGTTTTGTGTCCTTGAAGGAGTTGGTTGGATGCAACAGTGCTGTAATTTTGTATGGTTTTTTTAAAAGTTTTTTAAACTTTTTTTTTTAAACATTTTTAAACTTTTTTTTTTTTTTTTTTAACTTTTTTAAAAAAGTGTTTTTACACTCAATCTCTTCAAGACCAAGCTGTCACTAGCAGGTCATCATCTCACATTAAAGATGAGGAAGTCAAGGTAACTAGTAAGTAGTTGAATAAGTAGTCGAATAATAAATAGTCAAATAATAAGCAGTCGAATAAGAAGTAGTCAAATAAGTAGTTGAATAATAGTCGAATAATAAGTAGTCAAATAAGTAGGCAAATAGTTGAATAATAAGTTGAATAATTAGTTGAATGAATAATACATAGTTGGATAATAAGTGGTTGGATAGTAAGTAGTTAATAAAAAGTTGAATAATAAGTAGTTAAATGAATAACAAGTAGTTGAACTGCTGGTTTTCAGTGGGTCCCATTCCCTGCCCCAGCTGGCTCTGACTTCCTGTACCAGGTGACTGACTGGTTGCTTACTGCCATTTTGGAGAAGAGAGCCTGGGCCAGTTAAAAAAAATTTTATATGACTACATGTAGTCATTTATGTTCATTCTTTTTTTTTTTTTGAGACAGAGTCTCGTTCTGTTGCCCAGACTGGAGTGCAGTGGTGCGATCTCGGCTCACTGCAACCTCTGCCTCCCGGGTTCAAGCAATTGTCTTGCCTCAGCCTCAGTAGTTGGGACTACAGGTGTGCACCACCATGCCCAGCTAATTTTTATATTTTTAGTAGAGACAGGGTTTCACTATGTTGGCCAGTTTGGTCTCAAACTCCTGACCTTGTGGTCCACACACCTCGGCCTCCCAAAGTGCTGGGATTATAGGCGTGAGCCACTGCGCCCAGCTTTGTGTTCATTCTTAAAATTTATTTTAAAACAATTGTCAGAATGCAGACATGGGATTCATGAACTTGTCAGAGCATTAATCCATCACCTACTATGTGTAGGACAGTGAGATTGTACAGCCCCTTCCTCCTTTGAATTTACAAGTTATAAATCAAATCATAATTCATGTTTGAAGTTGCAACCACTTTAAAATCAGAACTTTGTTCAAAGCTATTGTTATCTTGTTTAAAATTATTTAGATGCCAACTTTGAGTTTTCCTTAAACACTATTCTGCATTTATAGAGAAAATATTCTGTATTTGTCTTACGTGCAAAGTAGAATCTTTGTACTGAAAATCTGCAACGTGAAATCAGAAAAAACAGTGGTCTGTAGCAGTCTTCTAAAGACTACAAGCTTCCACATTTCCACATTCCTCAGATTCTACTTATGTTAAGAGCTATGGTCCTGCAAAGGGTGTGGTCAGAGTTGCAGTCAGCAAGTTCAGGTTATCTTTTCTTTCTTCTTTTTTTGAGACGGAATCTCACTTTGTCACCCAGGCTTGAGTGCAGTGGCGCGATCTCAGCTCACTGCAGCCTCCGCCTCCCAGGTTCAAACTATTCTCGTGCCTCAGCCTCCTGAGTAGCTGGGATTATAGGCACCTGCCCTCATGCCTGGCTACTTTTTTGTGTTTTTAGTAAAGAGGAGGTTTCACCATATTGGCCAGGCTGGTTTTGAACTCCTGGTCTCAAGTGATCCACCTGCCTCAGACTACCAAAGTGTTGGGATTACAGGCGTCAGCCACTGCACCCAGCCTGTTCTGTTTATCTTAAGACCAGGTGTGGCAGCTGGTGCTGGGTAGACGCCCTGTGACTTTTCCTGCTTCACACAAAACAGGAACAAACAGAAAACTGGGCAGTGGAGGCTTGGGCCAGAGCTATTTGCTCTTCCATGCTTTCCTTAAAAAATCGGTTTAGCTCTCCTTTTTGAGTAGCTGGAGAGCAGCCTCTTACCCTTTCACAATTATTCTGTCAAAGTTCCACATTAGGACGGGACGCTCTGGGTGTGCCTCTGAGTCTCCCCATGCCTGCAGCAAAGCTGCCACTTCCCTGTTCGGCCCAGTCTGTGTGCTGGGTCCGGCAGGCACTGAGCAGGGCAGGGCTGTGGGGCCTCCTTGCCACACTGTGATCTCTGGGTCCGGCAGGCACTGAGCAGGGCAGGGCTGCGGGGCCTCCTTGCCACGCTGTGATCTCTGGGTCCGGCAGGCACTGAGCAGGGCAGGGCTGCGGGGCCTCCTTGCCACGCTGTGATCTCTGGGTCCGGCAGGCACTGAGCAGGGAGGGCTGCGGGCTCTTGCCACACTGTGATCTCTGGGTCCGGCAGGCACTGAGCAGGGTAGGGCTGCGGGGCCTCCTTGCCACACTGTGATCTCTGGGTCCGGCAGGCACTGAGCAGGGCAGGGCTGTGGGGCCTCTTTGCCACGCTGTGATCTCGGGCAGAGGATCGGTTTCTGTGGTCTTCAGTTTCCTGGAGCGCCCAGTCCCTTCGCTCACGCCTCCAGTCCACTCTGGGGCCTTACCGCACTTCCTGCCAGGCTGTTCACCTCTCCGTTCTGATCATTCTGTTAGAGGTGTCATTCATTGCTGCCCTTACAGTTGCACACCTAGTAACCTAATGGAATTATTTGTGATTGTGTTAACTGTAAGAAAATGCAGTATGACTTTCAGATTGAATTCTTCTGCCTCTGTGGGCCAGCATTATTTCCGGTTTTCAAATGCAAACTCACACGTGCTTGTGGTCCTTTCAAATAAATTCAAACTTGAATTAAACAGGTGACTTGGTAAAAATGTTGCGCTGTCTCCAGGTAGATTGCATCAAGATTGAGTTTGAGGAGACCTGGCTGGTGTCTCTGGCTTGTTGCAGGGAAAGCGCCCATGTTTCTGTGTTGATTGTTGTGTTGGTGTGAGAGCAGAGGAGAGAAATGGTTTGAGTTTTTTCCCAAATAGTAGAAAATTTGGCCGGGCGCGGTGGCTCAAGCCTGTAATCCCAGCACTTTGGGAGGCCGAGACGGGTGGATCACGAGGTCAGGAGATCGAGACCATCCTGGGTAACACAGTGAAACCCTGTCTCTACTAAAAATACAAAAACTTAGCCGGGCGAGGTGGCGGGCGCCTGTAGTCCCAGCTACTCGGGAGGCTGAGGCAGGAGAATGGCGTGAACCCGGGAGGCAGAGCTTGCAGTGAGCTGAGATCCGGCCACTGCACTCCAGCCTGGGTGACAGAGCGAGACTCCATCTCAAAAAAAAAAAAAAAAAAAAAGTAGAAAATTTACCTTTAATTTAAATCAGGTTCAGTTTTTAATGTCAGGGCTTTTCCCAGTGTTACGGACCCTGACAGTTGGTGTTACTTCGTTCTAACCAGGGATTACATCTACTACAATGATGTGTACGCCTTTAATCTGGACACCTTCACATGGAGCAAGCTGTCCCCGTCAGGCACGGGGCCCACACCCAGATCAGGCTGCCAGATGTCCGTCACTCCCCAGGGCGGCATCGTCATCTACGGGGGCTACTCGAAACAGGTAAGGCGCGGGGTGGGGAAACAGGTAAGGTCTGCGTGGGGAAACAGGTAAGGTCCGCGTGGGGAAACAGGTAAGGCGCGGGTTGAGGAAACAGGTAAGGCACGGGTTGGGGAAACAGGTAAGGCGCGGGTTGGAGAGACAGGTAAGGCGCGGGGTGGGGAGACAGGTAAGGCGCGGGGTGGGGAGACAGGTAAGGCGCGGGGTGGGGAGACAGGTAAGGCGCGGGGTGGGGAGACAGGTAAGGCGCGGGGTGGGGAGACAGGTAAGGCGCGGGGTGGGGAGACAGGTAAGGCGCGGGGTGGGGAGACAGGTAAGGCGCGGGTTGGGGAGACAGGTAAGGCGCGGGTTGGGGAGACAGGTAAGGCGCGGGGTGGGGAGACAGGTAAGGCGCGGGGTGGGGAGACAGGTAAGGCGCGGGGTGGGGAGACAGGTAAGGCACAGGATAGGGAGACAGGTAAGGCGCGGGGTGGGGAGACAGGTAAGGCACAGGATGGGGAGACAGGTAAGGCGCGGGGTGGGGAGACAGGTAAGGCGCGGGGTGGGGAGACAGGTAAGGCACAGGATAGGGAGACAGGTAAGGCGCGGGGTGGGGAGACAGGTAAGGCGCGGGGTGGGGAGACAGGTAGGCAGGTAGGGGAGACAGGTAAGGCGCGGGGTGGGGAGACAGGTAAGGCGCGGGGTGGGGAGACAGGTAAGGCGTGGGGTGGGGAAAGAGGCACTACTGTCTGTGGTCTCTTCAGTTTCATGAACATTGAAACTTTCACATGGGATTACTCTGGTTTAATATAAACAATTCTAATATAAACAGTTCTTTATGTTGAATTAGAAGTAGAGATAGTGTTAATCGGCTCCACCGTGAACTTGGTGCGACTGTTGGGGCCGTGTTCTGTTCTCCACACCCCTCCGCAGTGCGGTGTGAGCGATTCTGTGTTCTGAGGGTCTCCTTCCTGCACCGCGGGTGCTCACTGCTGTGTAGTATTCCCTGTGGAATGAAATTCTCCTCGCTCCTGTTAACGGGCTTGTTTCTTCTGTAGCCTGAGAGCAGTGCTGGCAGGAATGTTCGCGCCCGCACCGGAGCCTCCTGCTGGTGGAGTGTGTGCTCCGCACATGTGCTGGCATCTCCCGCTCGTGGAGCCTGTGCTCCTCACACGTTCATTGCTGCTTCATGCTGAGGTGTTCCATTATGTGACTGTCCCACAGTTGGTGGTTCTGTTTTTCATCAGTGGACACCCGGGCTGTTTCCATTCTTCAGAAGACACAGCCTTTGGAAGCAGCTGTGACTAAAGCTGCTCTGAGCATGTCCATACGAATCTTTTGAGTGGCTACATGCGTTGGTTTTTCTTGGGTAAGTGGCTGGTTCCACTTGTGCTGGAAATGTCGGGGAGTTCCGGTTGCTCCCTGTTCTTACCAGCCCTGATGGCGTCAGTCTTTCCATTTTTAGCTATTCTGGTGGATGGGTGGTACCTCATGTTTTAATTCACATTTCTCCATGACTGCTGGTGTTGGGCGCTTTTCATGAGCTTATCTTCCCTGAAGTGTGTGTTCACGTCGTCTGCTATTTTTAATGGGCTGTATTTTTGTTAGTGAGTTGCAGAAGGTGACATTCTGGATACCTGTCCTTTTCAGGTGTGTGGACCCTCGCAGTAGTGGCATGGCTAGTCACCTTCTGAAGTGTTTGTTGATAAGTAGAAGCTTTGAGTTTTGATAAAATCTAATTTATTATGTTTTTCTTTTGTGATTATTGCTGTCTGTGATACAGGAAGACCTTGTTTACCTCCAGTAACAAAGATTTTCTTATATTTTTTCTCTAAAAATTACATGGTTTTACAGTTAGTCCTGTGATCTACCTTGGACTAATTCTCAAGAGTAGCACGAGGTGGGTATTGAGGCTCATCTGTTTCCCCCGTATAGATACTCATCTCAGCATCATCTGTTGAAAAGGCTTTTTAGGCCGGGGACAGTGGCTCACGCCTGTAATGCCAGCACTTTGGAAGGCCGAGGTGGATGGATCACTTGAGGTCAGGAGTTCGAGATCAGCCTGGGCAACATGGTGAAACCCTGTCTCTACTAAAAAATACAAAAATTAGCCGGGCGTGGTGGGGCGTGTCTGTAATCCCAGCTACTCAGGAGGCTGAGGTAGGAGAATGACTTGAACCCGGGAGGTGGAGGTTGCAGTGAGCCAAGATTGTGCTACTATGTTCCAGCCTGGGCAATAGAGCAAGACTCTGTCTCAAAAAAAAAAAAAAAAAAAAAAGAAAAAAGAAAAGGCTTTTTATTCTCCGTTGAATACCTTAGGAACCTTTGTTGAAAATCACATGCCTGTGGGAACATAGGTCTGTTTCTCCGTTCGGATCCACGTCCGTCCTGACGCCAGTGTCCCACCAGCCTCGTTTTTACGCCTTTCTAGTAACTCCTGAAATACAAGTCATTCAGCTGCTGCTTTTTCAAAGTCGTTTTGACTATTCTAGCTTCTTAACATTTCTGTATACATTTTAGCATGAGCTTATTAATTTCTACCAAAAAGGGGGCAAAAAGGCTTTTCAGAAGCCTGCTGGGAATCTGATTAGAGTTGTTTTAGATCTGTAGATGAATCTGGGGGAGATTTGATGTCTTTGAGTCTTCCAGTTCTTGAACATGGATTCTCTCTCAATTTATTTTGGTTTGCTTTAATTTCTTTCTTTCTTTTTTTTTTTTTTTGAGAGAAGGTCTCACTCTTTCACCCAGGCTGGAGTGCAGTGGCACAATCACGGCTCACTGCAGTCTCTACCTGGGCTCAAGTGATCTCCCGCCTCAGCCCCACAAATAGCTGGGACCATCATGCCCAGCTAATTTTTGTGTTTTTTTGGTAGAGATAGGATTTTGCCACGTCATCCAGACTAGTCTCGAACTACTGGGCTCAAGCAGTTTGCCCACCTCAGCCTCCCAGAGTGCTGGGATTACAGGCATAAGCCGCCGCACCCGGCCAGTTTCCTTTATTCTCTTTCAGCAGTGTTTTTTTATTTCTCAGTGTAAAGGACTTATATATATTTTATTAAATTTATGTTTATTGATGTGAGTGGAATTCTTGATATTATACTTTCCGATTATTTCCCGCTAGTGTATAAAAACACATTTTAGGCCAGGCACGGTGGCTCACGCCTGTAATCCCAGCATCCCAGTGCTTTGGGAGGCCAAGGCTGCGGATCATGAGGGCAGGAGATCGAGACCATCCTGGCCAACACGGTGAAACCCTGCCTCTACTAAAAATACCAAAAAAAAAAGAAAAAGAAAAAAAAGCCGGGCATGGTGGCACGCACCTGTGGTCCCAGCTTCTCTGGAGGCTGAAGCAGGAGAGTAGCTTGAACCCAGGAGGCAGACGTTGCAGTGAGCCGAGATCATGCCACTGCACTCCAGCCTGGGCGACAGAAGCGAGACTCCATCTCAAAAAAAAAAACAAAAAAACCCAAAATTAGTTGGGGGTGGTGGCACATGCCTGTAATCCCAGCCACTTGGGGGACTGAGGCAGGAGAATCACTTGAACCCCGGAGGTGGAAGTTGTGGTGAGCTGAGATTGCACCATTGCACTCCAGCCTGGGCAACGAGAGTGAAACTCTGTCTCAAAAAAACAAACCACATTTTGTGTTTTTTTGTATATTCACCTTGCATTTTGTGATCATGCTGAATTCACTTATTTTTACTAGTTTCAGATTCATTAAGATTATGAAAGCAATCGTAATAGCGCAAATGGGGCAGTTTTACTTACTCCTTTCTTATCGTTGTGCCTTTCATTTCTTCATCTTGTCTTCCTGCAGTAGCTGGGACTCCAGCAGTGTTGAATGGAGGTGTGCAGAGAGAGATTGCCGGGGCTGTTCTGTCTTTGGAGGGAGGTGCCTAGCCACCCACCGCCAGGACCACCGGCTGTGGCTGCTTCCCAGATGTCCTTTAAGTTCTGTTCTGTTCTTCTATGAATTTCTATTATGAATGAGTGCATAGATTTTGTTAAATCCATTTATTGATTGTATGGTTTTTCTCTTTTGTTCAGTTTTTTAAAACTGTTTTAATTACATTTTACAAGTTTTATCAATGAATTTAAAATATTTTCTCATTTCCCTTGTGGCTTCATTGAACTGTGGATTACTTCAGAGCGCGTTGTTTAATTTCAAGTCATTGAGATTTTCCACAGTCTTATTGGTCGTGACTTCTGCTTATTCCATGGTGACTAGAAAACGTATTGTTTGTGAATTCAGAATGGCATTTCTGCCTGTTGCCAGGATGTTGAGATGCAGCAGCTTTCTGTGTGTTGAGCCTGGCGTCTGCAGCCTGAATGATGGCCAGTTATTCTGTGAGGTTATTCATCTGTGGTCAGTTACTCATCTGTGAGGTGCTTTGAGGTTTCTGTCTCGGTGATCGTGGCATTTGCAAGTGTGTTTCTTCCCCTCCGGTCCTCACATTCGTTCCTTCTTCCTGTCCGCTATGCTGTGTTCAGTGTCCTGAGATGGGGTCTTCCCTGTACACTGTGAAGAAAGGCTGGCCCAATATTTCTGGGCTGATTTGTGAGCAGAGCTCCCTAAAGGAAGACAGCTGAACTCCGCCAGAGTCCACCTAGGTCTTTCTGAGTGGACGTGTCCTCCAGCCTGTGATTGCGAGACCATGGACAGCATCCCGTGCCTCAGTTTCCCTCTGTGTGTTGCAAGTGGAGATGTGGCTCTAAACCCCCTTCTTCCCTATAGTCCTTCCCACCAGGGGATTTGCTTTCTTGCAGCTGTAGAAAAATGGTCTTTGCTTTTTAATTTCATCTGCAAAACGCAGAAAAAGTCGAATGCTTATTTGGTGCACATCAAGTCTTATTTTAGATGGTCAAGTTTAGGATTTCGGGATGTGTTACTGAGTGTTTCTTCATAAAGTGTGGGACTTGGGGTCTCTGTAAGCTTTACATTTCATCCCTGCTTGGCCAAGAGTGCAGCTGAGAGGACCAAGTGAGTACTGACTGCCCTAGAGCAGGGCAGTGCCTTGGGTTGCTGGACCCAGACAGACCCGCGAAGAGGGAGGCACGGCGTGGGCTGGGACCAAGGGGAGAGGGGAAGGAGATGGTTAGGGTGAGTTTTCGAACAAGGACATGTTTATGAGCAAAGGAGCAGGGATGGAAACGTGCAGAGTACGTCTGGTGGAAGTTGGTAAGCCCACTGTGGCTGGAATTCAGAGGTCTGTGAGGGTGGCGAGAGCCCAGGGCTGGGAAGGGCAGTATGTCAGGAGGCATTGAGCTCCTCCCTCGGGAACCGGTTCCAGCAAGGCAGTACCTGAGAGGGAGGGGTGCTGAGCTGGCATCAACAGTGCAGGGTTCCGGGGGTGGGGGCTGGCAGGGCAGATGAGTTAAGGGGCAGCAAGCCTGGTAACGGCCATTGTGCAGTAAGTACTCCTAGATGAGACTCAAGGAAAGGAGTTGGCTTGGGACTGGTGTCGTGTGTGGCTCTCATGAGTGGGTGGGATGACTGAGGCAGGGAGGACGCCTTTGTACAGGGAAGCTGGCGGGGCTGCAGTTGCTGCTTCTCACCTCATTTCTTAGGCACCAAGGAAGTTTCAGGCCATTCATCTGTGTGAGGCCTGTGTTTTCCTTTTGCATAGTTAGGTAATTATCATCTTGTATTTGTGAGCCATAGCTTGTTTGTGTAAGTAGTGTAGGCCCCAGGCAGCAGGACCCTCATGCCTGGAGAGCTCCCGGGGGAGGCGTCCGTGGGTCCTGAGCTGCCTCAGTGGAGAGCATTTCTCCTGGACGGTTCTTTTGATCACTTGGATTCCAAGACCTAGTACTAAACAGAAGGTTTCTGCCATTGCTTAAAATGTTTGCAGTGGGCTGGGCGCAGTGGCTCCTGCCTGTAATCCCAGCATTTTGGGAGGCCGAGGTGGGCGGATCACTTGAGGTCTGGAGTTAGAGACCAGCCTGGCCAACATGGTGAAACCCTGTCTCCACTAGGAATACAAAAATGAGCTGGGTGTGATGGTGTGCACCTGTAGTCCCAGCTACTCGGCAGGTTGAGGCACGAGAATTGCTCGAACCCGGGAGGTGCAGGTTGCAGTGAGCCGAAATCTCACCATTGTACTCCAGCCTGGGTGACAGAGTGAGACTGTCTCAAAACAAAAGTTTACAGTGAAGGTAGTAACTGCAGGATCAAGATTTTTTATTTCTGTTACTGATTTTTTAATCTCCTGGAGGAGGGGCCACTCCCTGGCATATGGTTCCAGAAGAGGAAGCAAAGTTTCCTCTCTGAGTGCTGGAGCACGGGCACACGGGCCGCTGAGCCAGGGAGGCCTCCTCAACTCAGACGCCTCAGGGCGCTCCTGAGACCTTGGCCGGTGAATGCACCGTCACGAAACAACTCTCAGGACTGCCCACGTGAGTGTCCTGGGCCCCAGCCTCTCCCACCCCCACGCCAGTGAACACGTGTCTGCAGCGCATCCAGGTAGCTGGAGTTCATTCTGCTGCCCTGGCAGTAAAGGATTTCAGCCTTTTAATGGCAGTTGGTCAGAGATTGAACCAAGTTGATCGGAATAAACCGATTTTTTTCTTGGTGATCTTTTGTTCTGCACAGAGAAAATCACCCTATTTTCTGGAGTAGAGGCTGGCATGGGTCAGGCTTGTCTAGATACTCTGGCGTCCGGGAGGGCACCGAGAACAGGCTGACTTGGCCGAAAGCCGGGCAGGATGCCCTGGTCTAGTGCTTTCTCCCAGCAGATGCATCATAGAGTGCAGCAGGACGGTGAACAACCAGACCGGCTAAGCTGTATCACTTTCATCAGAATCGCATGTCATTCTCAGCAGCTGCTGTCTGCAGCCACGTGCACCCACCCTTAGTCCGATGGTGGATGATCTCAATCCACTTAGTTCAGTAGCTCTTGGCTCCGAGCCTGTGGCATTTGGAATTGCAGTGAAAAGCTTGTCTGTTTGGATTCATGAGGGATTTATTGGAATTAGTAAGAGATTTGAGTTGTGAATGGTATGGAGTGTAAAAAAAGTGGGTAGCCTAAGCAGGTAGTCAGCTGCGCCACGGCCAAAGCGGCAGCCTGCGAGAACTGACGGAAGCATCGGTACATGGCCTGTGCTTGAGCTTGGAGCTGGGGGAAGCTCTTCCTTGCTCTGGCGCCATTACACTCCCACCCCCGTGCTTTGTCCTCTTGGCAGGACCCCGCTGTGCTGTGCTGCTGCTGTGTGGCCCAGGCCAGAGAAGACCCCACACACCGTGGGCACACGCCTCTCCCCGATGCAGGCCCCATCCATGCTCCCAGGAGGTCCTGCCACCCGCCACCCACCCTCACCTCACATTTCACTGAGCAAGTAGAGGTGGCTTGGAGAATGCCTAACCCCTGCCCGCTGCCGCGCACTCCACGCTCCTGCCAGAGCTGGCGCCTCCCCGGGGGCGGGTCCTCCTCTCTCTGCCCTCTCAGGATCACGCCACAGTGCAGCAGCCAGAGTGACCTGCAGAGATGCCAGCCAGGCCAGGTCTCCGTGCAGAGCCCCCATGGTCCTCGTCTCAGCAGGGCTGCCTCCAGCTTCCATCCCCTGCCTCCAGCTTCCATCCCCTGCCTCCAGCTTCCATCCCCTGCCTCCAGCTTCCATCCCCTGCCTCCAGCTTCCATCCCCTGCCTCCAGCTTCCATCCCCTGCCTCCAGCTTCCCCCCCCCCCCCCCCCCCCCCCCCCCCCCCCCCCCCCCCCCCCCCCCCCCCCCCCCCCCCCCCCCCCCCCCCTGCCTCCAGCTTCCATCCCCTGCCTCCAGCTTCCATCCCCTGCCTCCAGCTTCCATCCCCTGCCTCCAGCTTCCATCCCCTGCCTCCAGCTTCCATCCCCCTGCCTCCAGCTTCCATCCCCTGCCTCCAGCTTCCATCCCCTGCCTCCAGCTTCCATCCCCTGCCTCCAGCTTCCATCCCCTGCCTCCAGCTTCCATCCCCTGCCTCCAGCTTCCATCCCCCTGCCTCCAGCTCCCCCCCCTCCACTCCCCCCCGCCCCAGCTTCCATCCCCTGCCTCCAGCTTCCATCCCCTGCCTCCAGCTTCCATCCCCTGCATGGCCTTGTCCTTCTGCTTACCGTCCTCCCTGTTGGAGACAGACTTGGCCATTGTCTCCACCTGGAGAAGAGTCTCACAGGGACAGACTTTTGTCCACTTGTGTGCCTGGTGCCTAGACAGTGGCGTGCTTGACAGTGTTTGATCAGATGAAGGCCTTCTCACCCTGGTTCTGTGTGGCAAGGCTCCAGAGTTTGACACGTTAAGAGCTCGGGTTCATGAAGTGGACAGTAGTGCTCAGAGCCTTGACCTTGGGGCTGTACCTGGCTCTAGATTAAGAGGAACTCACAGACACCTGCCCTCCTTCCTCCTCCTGTAACCAGATCCCATCCCACGCTCCTTCAGGAAATGCATCTGAGAAGCCTCGGGAGGACTTGAAACACCCTCCAGGCTCTGGACTGCCACAAAGAACTGGCAGCTTTGGTCAGTATCGTAACCAGGTTTTATAAATTTCAAGTCAGTCTGGGTCCAGCTAGCGCTTTTACTACGATGACTTGTATCCTAACAAAAGAGATGCAGCTTGTGGGACAACAGAGACCCAGCAACATTCGCGTGTGCGAGGACTCAGTCCTTAGTATGTGCTTCCGGTGTTGTGGGAGCTTCCGGAGAGGGGGAATTCTCGTTCCTTTAGAGAATCAGGGAAAGAGCACAGCTCTTTGGAAATGGCGTATGGATGGGGAGGGTGGGGGCATGACACTGGAAGGCTTATCACCTAGTAGTCTCTTTCCATGGACACACAGGGAGCCAAGGGCCGAGTCCTGCTGAGGACAGGGCCCTCCTTCCTGCCTGCGTTTTGACCTCAGTCGTCATTGTGTGCCTGGTGGTCAGGAGATAGCGTCCGTGCTCAGCCAGGAGAGGGCTGTTCTCTGTACGCCCCACTGTTTCCGCGTGGCCGTGGAGCATGCTGGCAGAGGCCAGAGCATCCTTTGATTTGCCACTTGGGAGCTGAGCTCCTGGAAGACTAGAAGCAGACAGAGTTGTTCTGAGTGTGGGGATTGTGTGACTCATGAGATCCCGGCTGACCCTGGAGCCAGAGCTTCATGCCCACCAGGCCCCTGAGCTCCGTGACCAGCTCTCCCAGGTCACCAGCTGCAGGTGGCTCAGCTTGTCTTGTGCTGGGGAATTGGGTATGACAGCGGCTCCTACTTACGTTCCAGTACACACAGACCTGTGGCCACACCTGTTTCTGGGTGTATTTTTTAATGGCAAACCTGAAAATGTTCTGTCTTGGAAAGTGATGGGAAGAAGTCTTGGCTGTGGGGTGTTCAGTGGCTGTTGACCATTAAGAAGGTGGTCTCAGATGTGGATGGGAAGGTGCCCTGGGGCCCGGCTTCAGGCGTAGAGGCAGGCAGGGCCTTGTCCCGGTGCAGACAGTCACGCAGAGGGGCTTGACCAGGTTCCAGGAGAAAGGACTGAGTGGCTGGAAAGGCAGACATGGTGGGGTCCCAGACTGGCTCTGCAGAAACCATCCTGACAGCAGTGTCCCCAAAGAGCCTGCGGCTGTGGCAGGGGACATGCATGGGCTTCTCGAACAGCTTCCCTGCAGCAGTTTTCAAAAGGAAGCTGACTGGGAGTTGTGCTGATGGAAGTGATGCTAAAGGTAATCGACAGGGTGTTATTTTAGCAGCAGCCCTGCCGAGAGGGTGTGCACGAGTTCATGCTGCTCATGTGACAGGTGGTTGGGTGGGGGTCCTCTCGTCATGGGCACCTCTCCCACAGCCCCGCGAACTGTGCACCAATGTGGCTTGGCGTCTCCGCAGGGGGTCAGCGTCTCCGCAGGGCTCATCACCTGTGGTTGTATGAGGTGAGGAGGGCACAGTACGTGTGGTTGCTGCTTGCCCGAGCTGTGCTCTTGGTAGGCCATTGGACCCGCGTCTGGCGAAGGTGGTTTAGGAGTCGTCCCCGGGCGCGTGGAGGGACAGGCTCAGTGGTATGGGACGGAGCGGCCCCTGTGGTTTCTGTGTTCACACACGTCCACTTGGAACCGACACAGTCTCCGTGCCTGATTTTATTTTCGGTGAACGTCGGTGCTGCCATCAGCACTGTCTTCTCCCAGGACCACTCCTCTGGCCGTGTCTTGCCACACACGTTCCCCAGCCGTGGAGAGCCTTTATCTACCTACCACTGCATCGCCGGCCCCTTCTGTGACCAGGCCTGAGCCACTGCATCGCCGGCCCCTTCTGTGACCCGGCCTGAGCCACTGCATCGCCGGCCCCTTCTGTGACCCGGCCTGAGCCACTGCATCGCCGGCCCCTTCTGTGACTCGGCCTGATTTTATCTACCTTCCATTGCATCGCCGGCCCCTTCTGTGACCTGAGCTGGTGACGGGGCCTTGGGACCGCCCTGAGTGTCTTCTGCTCTCCCAATGATTGAAATGGGTCGGTATCTGAGCCGACGTCCAGGTGAGCCAAAGCGGCTGCATTGAGGACTCACTGCAGGCTGAGCTAGGTGGCCTGTACTTCTGCGGGAGGTGGGGTCTCATCAGGGGATGTGGCTGCAGGCTAAGCTATAGGTGGCCTGTAGTACGTTGTGCGGGAGGTGGGGGACTGTTGGGACTTGGCGTGTGTGGCTGGTGCTCCTCGAAACGTTCAGGCTCAGCCGTGCTGTGCTCTGGGGTCTCAGCTGGATGCTAAGTAATTCCAGAGCCAGCCCTGTTGCGCTTACCCTCCGTGTCGACACTTGAGCTCTCTTTCAGATGTCTTTGAATTCCAGCAATAATGTATTAGAATGAAGTCTAACTTCTCCAAAAATTCATGCAGATTCTGTTTATTTCTTTAGTATAGTCAAGTTGGTTTTTGTGGAAAGACTTACCGTGTGAATGTGAAGCTGGTTTGGTGTACACTAATAGAGCTTGAGCACAGGTGATCCAGAAAGACAGAGGGCAGCAAGGCCACTGTCTGTTGCTTTCTTTGAGGACCAGATAAGTTTGATTTTGGGAAAAGTCACAACACTTCAAGAAAAGAAACTGCTGTAGAAGGAGGAGTTAGAAGCTGTTGAGGAGGTTGACCCGTGGGCCCTGTTAGAGGGTGTGGCCGCCAGCCATGTGCTGGAAGGAACCTGTGGACCCGTGTGAGCAGAGCAGGCCTTGTGAAGTGCTCCAGCTCTCTGGCTTGCGTGGTCTGAAGGGAAAGTACTTAAATATTGTAGCATAAAAGATTCCCCCATAGCCTCATAGCCTGTTAATTCTAAGAAGAAAATGTTGCTGTCAGCAAAACAAGACAGTTCACATAGACAGGTGCAGGGTTCTACAAGGAGACAGAGACCTGCTGAAGCTGATCAGCGGTTTGAGTTTCTGGTGACAAAGAGAGACGTCACCGCATTCCTTCCTTGTCCCCCCACCCGATGAAGACGTCACCGCATTCCTTCCTTGTCCCCCCACCCGATGAAGACGTCACCGCATTCCTTCCTTGTCTCCCCACCAGCTGAAGTCTCTGGGTGTCAGTTCAGTTCCCAATAATGCTAGGCCTTTAGATTTGGAAAAGCAGTCACGGAAATGACAGTCATTTTCTATCAACCTGCTACGGAAAGAGACTAGTCTCAGTCACTGTCTGTGATGTGCAGAAACCGCATCACTTGAATTGCACAGATATTTCCAGAAGGAGAACAAAGGAGACCCAGACCCAGTTTTCACTTCCTGAGATTCAGGTCACTCTCCGTGTGGCCACTGTGGAGCCCTCTTGGTTTTAGGACACTCAGGCCCAGGTGGAAATAGGAAGGCTCTGTGGACAGTGGATCATTTCGTGTTTCAAAAGGAAAATGTTTTTCTTCCATAATAGTAAACACAGTGCATGTTAGCTATAAGAAAAATAGCTATAAACAAATGCTTGGTTGCTCTACCAGATGGGAGGGCCTAGAAACAGTACTACCCGGGAGCCGTTCACACATCCATGCCCAGATCTTGGTCTTTTTCTTTAGTTTGTTTAATTTTTGAGACGTCTCACTCTGTCATCCAGGCTGGAGTGCGGTGGCGTGATCTTGGCTCACTGCAGCCTCTGCCTTTCAGGCTCAAGTGGTCCTCCCACCTCAGCCTTGGGAGTAGCTGGGACTATACATGCATGCCACCATGCCTGAGTGATTTTCGTATTTTTTGGTAGAGATGGGTTTTTGCCATTGCCCAGCCTGGTCTTGAACTCCTGAACTCAAGCAACCTGCCCACCTTGGCCTCTCAAACTGCTGGGATTACAGCAAATCTTGGTTTCTAAGACCTTTCTGCAACAAAGGGAACCGGGACTCCCTTGAGAAATGGCTAATCATAGGGCTGAGCAGGGGGTATGTAGGAGGAATTGAGCATCTTGTGGTGCCAGAGCCTGAGGCAGTGCTGAAAGAAACCCACATAGATGGTGCAAGTCACAGGGACCCAGGAGTAGCTGTAAAGGCTCCTAGTGGCAGCCGTGTGTTATTGAACAACCCGAGCAACAAAGATGGTGACAGAGCACAGCCGAACTAACAACTCAAGCAACACAGATGGGTGGTGACAGCACAGCCGAACTCTACGTCAGTATCCACGAGACAGAGTGTACCCAAAGTCTACATAAATATCCTAAAGACCACAGCGTGTACCCAAAGTCTACGTCAATATCCACGATATATAGAGCGTACCTGAAGTCTGTCAGTATCTACGAGACATAGAGCCTACCCGAAGTCTACATAAATACCCACAAGACCTTAGAATGTGCCCAAAGTCTGCGTCAATATCCATGAGACACAGAGTGTGCCCGAAGTGTGTGTCAGTATCCACGAGACATGGAGCTTACCTGAAGTCTGTGTCAGTACCCCTGCGACCACAGTAGCGTGGCCAAAGTCTGTGTCAGTATCTGTGAGAACACAGAGCATAGCTGAAGAGAAACTGTCAGACACGACCTCAGCCAGGCGGTCGGGGTCAGCGTCCACTGTGATGAATCCTGTTGATGGTGTGGACCCTTGATGGGACGTGATGAGATGGGCACTTCACCCCTGGGGTCGTCCTGATGATCCATAACCCCAGTCTGCTGAGAAGGACAGCAGACAGTCCCAGTGGAGGGGCAGTCTGTAAGACACCTGGGCCATCCACACAGCCATCACGGTCCTCAGAAACAAGGAGAGTCAGAGACGCTGCCCCCAGCAACCTGAGGAGGCGAGAGGACGAAACGGCTGGCGGGACCCTCGATGGGATCCCTGGGCAGGGGGAGCTATGGGGAGCACTGGGGGCTCTGAATGAAGCGTGGGCTGCAGTCCCGGTAATGGGTCGGTGCCGGTTCCTGAGCCGTCACGAGGGCATCAAGGAGAGGAAGGTATTCTTGCTGGGGGGACACTGGTGTGGGCGCGTGGGAGCTCTCAGTACTCTCCCAATTTTCTGCAAATACGAAACTTCTAAAATAGTGTATTAAAAATAGAGAATTAAAGTGCAGACAAATACAAAGATGAGATGGAAATGGATGGGGGCCCTCCACCCCGGGTGAGCGTTTTGCTGGCTATCTCCCTCACCACCATAGGTCCCAGGTAAGGGGTGTGGCACCAGGACATAGGGCATGGGTGCTGGGGAACAGTGCGCCTGGTCCGGCTGAGGCTCACTTGAGGCAGAGGACCAAGGGTTAAGGGACATGGAGCTCGTTGTTTTCGAAGCTTGGAGAAGTCTTTCAGTGGGCAGTGGCTGCCCTCTGCACACAGTAGTAACTTGATTTCTGCTCTGAAGCCTGAATCGTGTTATTTGAACGGCGGTGGGAATTGAGAATCCACCGGGATCAGGAATGAAGAGTGACTCTGTAATGGTGTCAGAGACCCCGTGGCGATTTCCACACAGACCAGGGCTGCTGTGGAAGCTGTGTGTGCCCTGACAGGAGCTCTAGTGTACTGTGTGATCGTGGCCATTAGAAAGGTGGCCTCTTCAGATGGACCCGTTCAGGGGATAAAGCCCATCGGGTGGTGCTTTATCAGGGGATAAAGCGTACTTTGGAGCTTCGGGGCTGGTCTACAGGGAAGGCTTCCAGCCCCTTCCATCCAAAATGCGCCCACAGCGTGGGGGGTCTGTAAGCAACCACTGTAGCTGCCCCCAGTTCTCACACAATTCCTTTCTTTTGCAGAGAGTTAAGAAAGACGTGGACAAGGGCATGCGGCACTCAGACATGTTCCTGCTGAAGCCGGAGGACGGGAGAGAAGGTAGAGGCGCTGTGCCTCCCGGGCGGGAGCTGGCTGGTCTGCCTGTGGCGGGAGGCGGAGCCCACACCCTCCCATGGATGTGGGGCTGCCGGTGAGCCCCTGCACCCTGCCCAGAGCGGAGGGCCTGCTGGAGATGGCCCATTTTGGGGTGGGCTGGGCGGGACAGGCTCCATAGCCCTGGTGTCTGCAGACAAAGGAGCGCCTGCTGGGCGATCACCTCTGGGGGCATTGATGACGGACTGACTCACACACGGCTGCTATTACCCTGCGGATACCCCACAATGGAGCAGTGAGCACAGTGCCGCTCAGCAGCTCCTGATGGGCGCCTGCAAGGGTCTCGAGCTCTCAAAGGGAGAACCATCCTGGGCCTGAAGTACAAGCCACCTGGAGTCACTGGGGCCTCCTGGCATTGTGCTGACAGGGCTCGCTCTTGGAGTAGTTGCGGGCAGCAGCTGGGCAGGCTGGGTGTGGGGCTGCCCAGCCAGGGGCCAGTGTTGCTTGTCCTTCACAAATCATCACCGAGACTGCTGTTGGCCCTCACTGGGACAGCCTCCAGGAATGGCCGTGGCCTCTGTCAGCTTGAGTCACTGAACTCGGAGGGCTGTCAGAATGCCTAGATTTCTAAAAGCTTTTAGCTAAACTTGGATCTAAGAATCAAAAGTTTCTTATTAAAGCACAGGGGAACAATCATTGTTCTCTGGGACTTTTTAAAAGGATGACATGGGATGACCCAGGGGACACATCCAGAGGGCCCAGGATGTGTCAGCCACTCACCACCACCTTTTTGTTGTTGTTGTTGAGATGGAGTCTTACTCTGTCGCCCAGGCTGGAGGGCAGTGGTGCGATCTCGGCTCACTGCAAGCTCCATCTCCCGGGTTCACACCATTCTCCTGCCTCAGCCTCCCGAGTAGCTGGGACTATAGGCACCCGCCACCACGCCCAGCTAATTTTTTGTATTTTTAGTAGAGACGGGGTTTCACGATGGTCTCGATCTCCTGACATCATGATCCACCTGCCTCGGCCTCCGCAAGTGCTGGGATTACAGGCGTGAGCCATCGCACCCGGCCTACTCTCACCACCTCCTATGCATGGGCATGGGTCATGTGTTGAGATGAACTGTTGGTGGCGTTTCCTGCCAGTGGCTGCCCATTCGTTCTCACCTCTGAATGGGGAGAAGCCCTGCCTGTGGGGAGCGTGGACCGTCTGTTCTCAGACCTCTGAAGCGGGAGAAGCCCTGCCTGTGGGGAGCATCGGGGGGGATGGGAGTGGGCTGCTACTTTTCAATCATTAATTTCTTGACTTTGAAAAAAATTGCATTTGTTGTTGGCTGGGTCCAGTGGCTCATGCCTGTAATCTCAGCACTTTGGGAGGCTGAGGTGGGAGAATTGCTTGAGGCCAAGAGTTTGAAACCAGCCTGGGCAACATAGTGAGACACCATCTCTTAAAAAAAAAAATGTAGCCAGGTGTGCTGGCGCGCGCCTGTAGTTCCAGCTACTCGGGAGGCTGAGATGGGAGGATTGTTTGAGCCCAGGAGGTGGAGGCTGCGGTGAGCTGAGATTGTGCCACTGCACTCCAGCCTGGGCAACAGAGCGATGTCCTGTCTCAAAAAATAAATAATAAAAGGAGACCATGGCATTTGTTCTGCTCCAGAGCAAGGGAGTGACGCCAGGAGGCACTGGTCGAGGGTGTTTGCCATGGAGCTTAGCATCCCCAGTGCCGTTAGGAAACCAGGGGACAGCTCTCATGGGAGGCTGTGGCTTGGGACCGGAGGGCTGGGCTAGACCCAGGAGACCCAGTGCCTAGGCCAAGTCTGCTTTTGTGACCCACAGCAAGTTCTCCAACCCAGGAGAGGGGACCATTGTGCAAAGTGTTTTTACCTCCTCCTTGCACTAAAATTCCTCAGGCTGAGGCCTCAGAAATACCTGAAGGGTTAATCTGAGTTCACACCCCCTTGCCTGTCAAAAGGCTGAGGTGCCTCTGCCATGGCCCTGCCTTACCGCACCCCTGGCTGATGAGGGCAGACTCGTTCTTCCAGTCAGTTTCCCAGCTCACACCCCAGTGAACTTGAACCTGGATGCTGGACTGTTTCCCGCAGGGCGGCCTTGAGCCTGTGTGCTCCGCTCCTCAGCCCCCAAGAGGAAAGCACCGTGGTGAGGAGCGGCACACCTTGTGTGCATGGGTTTCTGTCACTGGAGAGGGTCCTGCCCTGACTGTGTGGCGAGTTCTTAATGTTGGTCTTACCTGTTTCTTTTTTTTTCTTTTTTTTCTTTTTTTTTGAGACGGAGTCTCACTCTGTCGCCCAGGCTGGAGTGCAGTGGCCAGATCTCGGCTCACTGCAAGCTCTGCCTCCTGGGTTCACACCCTTCTCCTGCCTCAGCCTCCCGAGTAGCTGGGACTACAGGCGCCCGCCACCTCGCCCGGCTATTTTTTTTGTTTTTTTTTTTGTTTTTTTGGTAGAGATGGGGTTTCACCGTGTTAGCCAGGATGGTCTCAATCTCCTGACCTCGTGATCTACCCGTCTCAGCCTCCCAAAGTGCTGGGATTACAGGCTTGAGCCACCACGCCCGGCCGGTCTTACCTGTTTCTTAACACAGTCGTGTGCTGGTGGGAATGAGGCAGGTGGCCCCGGAGCCACACCCGCAGTGGGCATGGGTGGGTGGTATCTAGCACCACACAGAATATGGCCATTTGCTGCTTCTGGTTTTTTGTTTTTGTTTTTTTGTTCATTAGAGGAAAAAAATCTCCATTCTTTCTCCTAGAAGTGGTGGGAAGACACCACCTGCACACCGGGCTCCGTTGGAGGGTTGGCATGTCACATAGGTGTGGGCCAAGAGAGAACACAGGGCAGACCCCTCCTAAAGTAGAGCTGGCCACACTGCAGGCCCAAGGGGGACTGGCACAGGCCAGCAGGTCCCCGTGCGGGGCGGAGGGTCGCCGTGCGGGGCGGAGGGTCCCCGTGCGGGGCGGAGGGTCCCCGTGCGGGGCGGAGGGTCACCGTGTGGGTGGCCTCCCCACGGAAGCCCCTCTGTGTGTCTAGCGTGTGTGCTGCTGCTGCGCAATCCCTGCCTTTCCGCTGTGGCTTGAAGCTGCCCGTGGTCAGAGGTGCTTGGGGTGTGTGGAAAGCTGTTGAATGCCAGCTCTCTTAAGGAGAAGGGTGGAACTCAAGGGGCGTCGAATGGTGTCTGTTCTGCAGCGGGAGCAGGGTTTTTGCCTGCAGTCTCACGGCTTTCATTTACCCTGTTCTGGGGGGCCCCTGGGGTCCTGGGTGTGTCCTGGACTGGCTCTCAGGGTCCTTCCTTCTGTTCTTATCCCATTTCCTTGCTCTCTTTTGACAGACAAGTGGGTGTGGACTCGGATGAACCCTTCGGGGGTCAAGCCCACCCCACGGTCTGGCTTTTCCGTGGCCATGGCCCCGAATCACCAGACGCTGTTCTTCGGGGGTGTCTGTGACGAGGAAGAGGAGGAGAGCCTGGCGGGCGAGTTCTTCAACGATCTGTACTTCTACGATGCCACCAGGAACCGCTGGTTTGAGGGACAGCTGAAGGTAGGGCAACCTCTGAGTGGTATGTGCCGTGATGCGCGGCCCTAACTGGGTCCCTGCCTCCCTCCAGCAGCTTTGGGTGTCGGGGCCCCCAGAGCCCGTGAGCTCTCTCAAGAGGGGCCGGGGTTCTGTCTCTGCCTGTGTCCTGGGTGACTAGGCTTGGACAGCCCTTGGCCATGGTCCCCTCAGCCCATCCTGGATGCTGGCGGTGCTGCTGCCTCAGGAGCCACTCTCCCCAGACTGAGGTGCCCGGGACCTCCCTGGCCCTCTGTGTGAGAAGGGTTTGCTGGAGGTCCTGGTGCAGACCAGCCTGTGTTGTTATGACATTTGAGCTCCCCTGGTTTCTGGCACCATCTTTACTGTCCGCATGGGCACAGCTGCTGTCCAGGGCCAGCCCAGCACAGGTACAGCAGTGGGTGACAGTCCTAGAAGGGGATCCCCCACTTGGCCTCAGGGTCTCCGAGTGTACCAGGTCAACTGGACCCAGAAAGAGCCAAGGAGGGCTGGTCCCTGTTGGTGGCAAAGAGCTGCTCTTGACGCGTGGTGGCGCCTGGGCTGGACACTGGGAAAACACAAGGGTTCGTTTCTGGATCCACAGTCCACCTTGCTCTTTGACTTTAGGAGGAATTATTCCAAGCAGAGTCTGCACAGGTTTCCCCTGTGGCTTTTCTTCAGAGAACGTTTTGACCCCAGCTAGTGTCACAGTTCTCAAACTGTGTCATCACAGGGCCCTTGACATTTCCCGGGATCACGGAGGACCTCAGGGAGCTTTCCCTTTCGAAACTCATTGTTGGAGAGTACAGATACAGAGTGGGTCTTAGAAGTCTAGAATGTGAAGCTGACTTTGAGTTGATCTGGAGGTAGTGATCCTTGGAAAATTTGGAAATAACCTGGCAAATGTCACCTCGTGAGTTGGCAGCATTTTGTGACAAAATGGCAAAGGCTGTGACAGAAGGGTCCAAACTGACCGCTGCCACACAGCCAGGGAAATGGGACAAAGAGGGATGGACGGCTGTCCTGCAGGAGGCACCCTGACCTAAGAGCTCCCCTTTAGAAACGTGGTGAGGAAGGGCCCCTCTCCGACTCGCCGTTTGTAGTAAATGAGCTGGGGTTGCGGGCCTGGCCATTGGTCTTCCTTGGGAAAGGGGAGGAAGCCCCTCAGCCTGGCTTCCCCAGCCCTTCCGGGAGCTAGCACTGTCGGTGGATTGGGTTTTCCCAAGGTGAGCGTCGGAGCCCGAGGGGCTGGTGCACTGGGTCTGGGGTCTGGTGGCCTGTCCACCTCTCAGTGGACGTGTGGAGCCGCCCCTCAGTGAGGACACGCGATGGGGGGTTTTCTCCCCCAGCCCAGGAGTGAACGGCGAGGCCAGTGCAAGACAGGAGCGTGCTTCTGCTGCCGAGTGCCTGCACCCAGGGCAGTCAGGGACGGCGCCCCCCTGGGTCACATACTCCCCGTCCCCGCAAACTCTTGCCTGGCCTCGTGGGCATAGCAGGACCGACCGCTGCCTCGCTGAAGCTGCTGCTCTCTGCTCCCTCGGTCTATTAATAGGGGCCCAAGTCTGAGAAGAAGAAGCGCAGGCGGGGCAGAAGAGAGGAGCCCGAAGGTGGCAGCAAGCTGGCGTGTGGGGGAGCTGGCACGCAGGCGCCTGTGGAGGTGGTCAAGGAGGTGGTGACCGAGGATGGGACCGTGGTCACCATTAAGCAGGTGCTCTCCGCCCCAGGCTCGGCAGGGCAGCCCCAGTCTGAGGACGAAGACAGCCTCGAGGAGGCTGGCAGCCCCACACCCGGGCCGTGTCCTCGCTCCAACGCCATGCTGGCCGTGAAGCACGGGGTGCTCTACGTCTACGGGGGCATGTTTGAGGCTGGCGACCGCCAGGTCACCCTCAGCGACCTGCACTGCCTGGACCTGCACAGGATGGAGGCGTGGAAGGCCTTGGTGGAGATGGACCCAGGTGAGCCAGGCGACTTGGTGCCTCCGTGCCTGGGGGCGAGAGCCCACGGTCGTGTGTCGCGTCACTCGAAAGCAAGCCCTGCAAGCCGCCCAGAGGCGGCCTGTGCCGATGCTCCTCACAGGGGCCTGTGCTCCTGCCTCCACGGTCAGACCTGTTGTGGAAAGGAGGGCCCATCCTGGGCACGTCCGTCCTCTGTCCCAGGTGCTGACAGGAGCTGCAGTTCTGGCGGCACAGGACACGGGCGCATCTGCTGCTCTGTCCACAGCATGCTTGTTTGTGGGCGGCCGTCTGTGCCGGGCCCCAAGGCCCTGGGTCTGAGCTTCCAGCCTTGCTGTCTGACCCAGGGCCCCTCTGCTGCCGTAGTCACACGTCCCCTTTACCCTGATTGCTGCTGGACTTGAGTCACCGTGCAGTTTCTAAAGATCTGAGATGAAAGCAAAATCCACAAATCCAGGGAAAGATAGTGAACCGTTGGCGCAGGATGTTTGCTGTTTTCTGAGAGCACCGTGAGCCAGCGTGGAGGGTGGCAGGAGGCCCTCTTGGCCAGCCGCTCCCTTATGGGGGTGCTTTTGCATGTTTGCCGTCTCGGGTCTCTGCCTTGACGCCCAGGGGAACACAGTCTGTTTTATTTGTGGATCTGAAGGGGCCCGGGGAAGAGGAGTTAGGTTTCTTTTTCTTTCTTTCTTTTTTTTTTTTTTTTTTGAGGCAGAGTCTCACTCTGTCGCCCAGGCTGGAGTGCAGTGTGCGATCTTGGCTGACTGCAGCCTCTGCCTCCTGTGTTCAAAGGATTCTTCTGCCTCAGCCTCCTGAGTAGCTGGGATTACAGGTGCCCACCACTACACCCAGCAGAGACAGGGTTTCACCATGTTGGCCAGGCTGGTCTTGAACTCATGACCTCAGGTGATCCACCCACCTGCGCCTCCCAAAGTGCTGGGATTACAGGTGTGAGCCACCGCGCCCGGCCAGGAGTTAGGTTTCACATCATGGTTCTTAAGTAAGAAGATGGAATCCCCCCAGTAAGTAGCCACCACTGTCCCGCAGCCTCCCCCGCCTGCCCCAGCTGTGCTGACATCTGTGTGTGTTCATTCTGCTTTTGAAGAAACTCAGGAGTGGCTGGAGGAGACAGACTCGGAAGAGGACAGTGAGGAGGTTGAAGGTGCTGAGGGTGGAGACGAGGATGAGGACGAAGACAGCGGAGAGGAGAGCGGTGCGGAGGACTGAGGTGAGTGGACTGGAGCTCACGGGTGTTGTGGCTGCTGGGTGTTGGTGAGAGGCTTTTCATGTTTATTGGATTTTCATTAGAATTCAGCTTTGTTCTGTAGATGCCTTGAGGCAAGTTTAAATTCTTAAAAACGGTATGTGGAGTAATTTCGGCAGCTTGCTGATGAGTGCGGTGTGCGTGTGGGCTCTTTGATGAGGTCTTCCCTGAAAACCCGGTGTTCTCTCTACCCTCCCTGCACAGGCATCCCCCTCGGCTGAATGTGTTTCTCTCTCATTCCTTCCTCCTTGTGTATCAGAAGAGCCCCCTCCAGGGGCGCCTGGCAAGTGCTGTGCCTACGTCCGCCCAGGACCCAGCCATGTTGGTTGAAGCTCTCGGGGCCAGCCTGTGCCCTGACACACAGGAGAGAGCTGAAGGTGGGTGGCCCAGGCCAGGGCGTGAACTTTCTCCCATGATTTAGTCTTTGATGCGGCGCTGGGCCAGAAGCTCAACTGAGTGCAGTGCGGGTGGATTCCCTCAGCAGCCTGTGTGTTGTGTAAAATAAATTGGACTTGAAACAAGATCACCGCGAGGTTTTCTTCTGTGCGGCCCTAGGCACACCCAGTCTTCCTGGGGCCTCTGCCCCGGGCCAGGGCTGGCCTAGGGCAAGACTGCCCCACACTGGAGGGTGGAACTTTGGACACGAAGGACCCTTGAGAAGCAGGTTTCTGCACCCGAAACCCCGGAATATGCTGTGCTTTGTGAGCCTTTCCTTCTACAGACCCAGAAGAGGGCCCTGACTTCCCATCCATCTTCATACTCGGATCAGCCTTTGACGTCTGGAAACTGAAAAGCAGGCCAGGGCCAGTGCACGCCTTCCCTGTTCTCGTTCATGTACGGCACCGCTGGCCGACTCCACACGGGGATCTCCTGGTGGGTCCCTCGTGCAGCGGCCTCACTCCTGGGAGCCCCGTGCCCCCGCATGGTCTCTGGTGAGGCCCTGGTGGTCCCTGTCGGGTTTAGGGTTTAGGATTAGCATTTGCAGAGCGACAGGATGGGAGGCCGGAGGCTGAGGGCTCCCAGCGTCCCCATATGGCTGCCACCAGGTATCTCCGGCCAGCTCCTCCTGGCTCCCGCGCTGCAGCGCCCTTGCCCCCGAAGGCTGTGGTGCGCTAACCCCCACCCGAGGCCTGCTCCAGTCCAAGACTGAAGGCCGGTTCAGATTTGCATAATTGGGGTCAAATGTTGAGCACTGAAACCACACCCGGTGCAGTTTTGTGGGTGTCTTAAATATTTTGAACAGTGGGAATATAGGATCCTTAGCTTTCTGTAATGGGCCAACATAACTGTGGTCCCTTTTCTTATCTGGGAGTTCAAAACAAGGGTGGTGGGGAGACTCCCTTCCTGGCGGAACCAGTGTTGAGCGGAGAGGACTAGAAGCTGACTTGGCAGCGAGCAGCTGTGAGCGCCTCCCTGCTCCCTTGGCCGATTCGTCCTCATGGCTCCAGGTGGGCCCAGGAGTACCCGGGTCACCATGGGGCAGTGGCTTCAGAAGCGTCATCTCTCAGGATCACCTCAGGGGCACTTGGCCAGCTCTTCCCCAGCAGGGGCACGTGCTGAGCTCCCTGGTGAGCCAGGTGTTCAGGAGGCCTCGGCGGGCGGGTGGCACTTGAACTGGCCCCGAGGGCCCTGCCCGCTGCCATGGGTGTGACCTCACTTCAGGCTTCTGTGGTCACTTGACCGAAAAGCTGATCAGAAAGGGGAAAGAAAGGGGAAGGCTCTGAGCACTGCCCGTTCCCTGGTGGGGACACCTGTCTGGTGCGTCTGGATGTGTGGGTGGCACTGCCGACGGGTGAGGCTGCAGGCGTAGCCCCCCTGGAGGGCTGCAGCTCGTGTTTGCGTTGTGCTGGCTCCCCTGCCAACCCCCGAGGGCTGCAGCTCATGTTGGCGGCGTCGGGCTTTGGTGGCCGGTTTGGGCACTTTGTCTCGAGTGCGGGGCAGGCAGGGCTCTTTCCTCACGCTCTCGGCTGAGCTGGTTGGGAGAGGCTCGGGCAGGGCTGAGAAGCCGGAGCGCAGGCAGCAGCGTCCCCGCCCCCACAGGCTCTGCGGCTCTGGCCCTTGTCCAGAAGATGGACCCCGTTGTGTGGCCGGTTCGGTCTTCCCTCCTGCTCTTGGAGGAAGGAATGGAAAGATCTTGTTGGCTTCAATGCAGTTGTCTGTTATCAGAGATTTTCTTTCAGAGGAGCTTGTAACTAATTAAATGGGATTCCCAGGAAAAAGGTACTTTTGAATCAACCAAGTTGAAAGACAGATGACAGCAGCCCTGAGGAAGAAACTTCTTGTACACTTTCTTATACAGAAAGCATTTTGCTTTTGTTGCTAAAGATTTGATTTGAATGAAAGATACTGATCAGAACCAATGGGGATCAGACAGACAAGCTCCCAGCATGGAGTGGCTGCCACGGCCGTGATGAAAACAGCAGCGCCCCTTCAGTGTGGAACCGCGGGAGACGCGGAACGCAACACAGGGTGGTGGCTTCCTGTGCAGGCTCTGCCTGCCCCACGGGCCTGTGGTCTGCTTTGTCTGCTAGAGCCCAGTTTATTGAACCACTTGGTGGCCAGGCAGCCGCCATAGGGTGTGAGCAGCCGGCATGAAAGCCCAGGGCCTCTGTCTCCCGGGAGCGGCTGGGACAGCGCGGCTGGGACACGCCATACTCGGTGCCACATTCACCTCCAGTTCCTCGGTGTGGTGAGCTGCTGGCTGTTAGGAAGGCTTTCCCTCGGCTCCGGCCCCCCCACACGGCCCCCGGACCCCAGACTGCAGGGTGGGCGGGCATGTCAGGTGAGGCGCTCTGGCCGGCCCACTTGGCAGCAGGGCCACAGCTCCTCGCAGGGCTTTGTGGGATTTCGAAGGATGAATCATCTTGTTCCCCATTCTCCCCCTGCTGCCCATGCACGTCATGCTCTGTGTGAGGATGTACTGGAGGGACTGGCCATGCGCGGTGGCTTTTTTCGTGGTTGGGGCGGGGGGGTGTTGGGTGGAATGAACATCAAGGGAACTACCCATTGAGCTTAGAAATCCTTGCCAGGCAGTTAGTTTGTGTTTGTTTTTAGACGAGAGTAGTGTTGACTGCAATTTGACATCTGATTTTTTTTTTAATTGAGTTGGTATAAGCAGGATGTCATTGGCTAGGTGACAGTTACAGAGTCACTGAGGGACCAAATGCCAAGATGCCTGTTGGTGAGAGAGACCCTCTCCAGAGTTTTCCAGAGGCGACTCCTTCCACGTGACGTTCAGGTAACGAGGTGGGACCCCGCGCTGGACGTGGTGCTCGGGTGTTGGTGAGGAGGCGGCGCCGTGTGCTTGATGGCTTCCATCAGAGAAGAGTCTGCTCTTCTCCAGAAGGAGCAGGGGGTGGTGGTTCCCAGCCCAAAAGGAAAAGGGGCCGAGCTCTAGCTGTGATCACGACCTCAGCCTGCCTGCCTTTGTGCGTGGAAGGAACTTGCTAGTGACCGCCGCTCTCCTGGGCAGTGTAAGAGTGTTGTGTGGAGGCCCATCTCGTTTTCATAACCCAGATGGCTCCCGGCGCAGGTTGTGGTCACCTCCGTTTCTCTCTGACGAGAGAGCTGCAGCAGTGCCATCCGGGGCCTGGCCACGCCTGGTCACTGGGGTCCTGAACAGTGGTGTCCCGAGGCACACAAGCAGTCCCTGCTGGACACTGACGCACTGTCAGGGCCAAGGGCCACAGTGCAGGTACCACAGCGACCCGCTTCCCTGAGTCCTGCTCCTGCCCCTCATTTTCCTTGTCACAACCTTCAGAGCCCTTCCAAGCCCCCACGGCTGCAGCCCACCCAGGGACCCAGCTGTAGAGGCTGGACTCGGGCGTCTCTGAGGTGTGAGAGGCGCAGGATCTCTGAGGTGTGAGAGGCGCAGGTTTACAGAACTCTGGCTGGAAGAAAGAGATTGAGTGACCACTCCCTGAGAAACAGAAACGGGGACATTTAATTACACGAACGCGCGCATTTAAAAACTGCCTGTGCACTCCCGGAGGGCAGAGCCTGCCTTTCTGGTGATTTTTGTGTCCCCCATTCACTTACAGGCTGTGACAAACCCCGTGCCCACGCTGCCTGCACTGCCGGGAGACTCAGGGCTGGGGGGGGCATGCCCCGGCCACCACTGGTGAGCCAGCGAGACTGAGGACCCCGCACGTGCTGACCCGGGGACACCGCGGAACTCACTCGAGACTGAGGACCCGGCGTGTGCTGACGCAGGGACGCCACGGAACTCACTCGAGATTCCTGCTCACAGCACGTTTCCTGCTCGGAAGCCAGGAGAGCCTCCACGTGCCACCCAGCTCTGTCCACGTGTCCATCACACAGCTCTGCAGCAGAAGGAACTTCAGTAAAGATGATGGTTTGTAATGAGACAAGCGTTCCAAAGTGTCACACGACATTGTTTATTACTAAAAGGAGCAGAATTTCTCTTTAATCTCAACAGTGTTCCTTGCTTTCGTTAACAGTAGGATTTAAACTGTTACATTCATTTAGGAAAACTATTTGATTTTCATTTTGTAAGTAACCAAGCTATCTTTCCAGCTTAAAAGCAAAGAAAAGGCCGGGCGCGGTGGCTCAAGCCTGTAATCCCAGCACTTTGGGAGGCCGAGACGGGCGGATCACGAGGTCAGGAGATCGAGACCATCCTGGCTAACGCAATGAAACCCCGTCTCCACTAAAAATACAAAAAAAAAAAATTAGCCGGGCGTGGTGGCGGTGCCTGTAGTCCCAGCTACTCGGGAGGCTGAGGCAGGAGAATGGCGGGAACCCGGGAGGCAGAGCTTGCAGTGAGCCGAGATCGCGCCACTGCACTACAGCCTGGGCAACAGAGCGAGACTCCGCCTCAAAAAAAAAAAAAAGCAAAGAAAAAAGGCTCAGGGTAACTTTTTAAACCACTTTTTAAACTTCAATAAGAGAAGTTCTGTTTTTGTCACTGCACGGAATGATTGTACACAGTGTTAGCAGACAGTTCACATGCGCCGGTCCGACTTGGAAGGAAACGCAGGTTAACACCGTTTTCTGTCCGAGTTCACAGAGGTGTTTGCGGCAGGCTCAGTTGCTTCTGCAGCTGGAACGAGGGGCCTGTCCCGCGTGGCTCCCCTGAGCCGAGAGGCTCCTGAGGGTTTTTTCTCCACTGGGCTCTGGGGACGGGGTTTCTGTGGAAATGGCAGATGGTGCACATGAGCAGAGTCCTGCTAGATAGGTCAGCTCAGCGTCCAGGAGGGGCTGCCATCGGCAGAGTGCCTGCGCCTGAGGCGGCCACGGACGTGCCTGGAAAGGTGCTGCCCTAGAAGTCTGCTCTGATGTGGCCGCGCTTGGGCATGCGGGCTCCCCAGAGGCCCATGCGAGAAAGCCGGGGGTTCCCAGGCTGTGGGTGCAGGATGGGCCAGGCACCACCCTGCAGGGCCCACCCCCCTGCCCCCGCACCCTCACACCCATCTTCCTCTCTCAGCCTAACCCCAGGGCCTGGGAGTCCCCGGCAGACAGGCCCTCCTTGCCCAGCAGTGGCCGCCCTTTATGGACTGGGCGCCTGGCAGAGCCGCTGTGGAGGAGGAGTTGGTTTTCATGGTCGGGAGAGGCAGCCCTTGGGCTGGGTGCCGTTGGTGGTCAAGGTTGAACCCATATCCGGTGGAATCTCCTGGTCTGTTCCACACACAATCGTGCGGGAAGCTCTGGGACCCGAAGGCTGTTCTGATCTCGGGTCACAAGTTCTCACAGCAGCCTGGGGTCACCAGGGACTAGACCCAGCATTAGGCTTTTTAGGAGCTGCCTGGCTGCTGGGCTGAGCTTCATTGCAGGCCCAGGAAGATAACCAAGAAGGGCTGAGCAGAGCCCCGTCAGCCACTCCTTGGGCTGGAAGTGACTTCCTCGGTATGGATGGCAGCTGTTAACAAGCAGTGGTGGTTTGGCCGGAGGCCTCTGTGGGGCACAGACACGGCGTGCACGCTCAGGAGGACAGGCAGGTGGCATAGGCCTGAGCAGGTGGCGTCGGCACACGAGAAGGGTGTGTCTGAGACAGGATGTTTATCCCAAAGGCCAGGAGTGGACGAGGCGGACGAGTGGCTGTGAGGTAGGCGTGTGAGGTTGGCGCGTGAGGTTGGCTGGTCTGCTCCGCCACCCCAGAAACCCAGTGGCCTGGGCCCAACACCCAGACACACGGAGTGAGCTCATGCCCAGGCCGTGACCTGTCCCCGTCACGGGGCCACTTGCTTCTCCCAGGCTTGGGAACAAGCTGGCACAGAACGCTGTGGCTGCATTCACCGCTCAGGCACTTCTGCTGGGGGTTCATGAAGAAACAGACTTAGAAAGCGTTTATTTGTTCCTGACGGGTGGGCTGAAGTTTGGGAGGAGCATTCAGCTTCTTTGCAGAGCTCGGCCTCGCCTGTCCTGAGCGCCCTGCGACCCTGTTGCTAGCCTGGGGTGCTGAGGGCCTCGGCTCTGGGGGCGCTGACCGCCCCTCTGCAGCCGGCGCCAGGTGCTGGTCCCCGCCTCTTTTCATCGGGAGGCGCTGGCCTGCAGGGCCTTCGTGGTTTGCCGGAGACCCTTGTTCCGTCCCTTCCCAGCACCCACCCCCAGCCCGCTGTGCGTTCCATAGTTCATTTTCCAGGCAGGGGACGTGTGGTGAAAATACAGCCTGGCTTTGTTTCTTTTCAGCGATGGCAGCCGCACTTTTCCTCGCTTGTTTTGAAGGCCAAGCCGGCGGCCTCCTCGGCAGCTGGGGACAGTTGCTTCCTCAGCTTCTGTGTGCCGACTGCCTCACCTGACACACAGCCTGGGCGTGAGAGAAGCCAACCAGGTGCCTGAGCTGACTGACTCCCTCCTCCCTCCAACCTCCAGTCTCCTCTCTTCCTCCATCCTCCTCCCTCCAGTCTCCTCCATCTGCCCTCCTCCCTCTGCCTTTTCTGGAATCGGGGTCCTGGTCCTGGGCTAGAGGCAGACCCTGGCCCGGGAGAGGTTCTCAAGGCACTGTGGGAGGGCAGCGTCATGATGTCCTGAAGCTTGCCGCGTCCGGTGCTGTCAGCCGGCTGAAGGGAGAAACTGTCACAGCACCCGCAGCTATGGAAGGTGACGTCCGAAAATCTGTTAGGCACCTTGATGTCAAGTTTCCAAGACCAAAGGCAAGAATAGTCGGACCAAACTTAGGAAGTCAGAGAAACGGAGCGTGACCTAGAAGAGGCAGATGGCCCTTCCCCTCCTCTCCTGCTGATTGTTCTGTCGCACACACGACGTGAAATCCACACTGCCCTGTGAAGACTGAGGGCAGGTCTTGGATGTGCCGCCCTCACATGGCCCAGGAGCGCCAGCAGCTTGGGGGCCACCACAGGCCCCAGGGCCTCTTTACTCCCACGGGTTCAGCGGACAATAAAACTTCCCAGGGAAGGAGTAAAGGACGATCAAAAACCTGAACTGAAAAAGTATGAAAAACATTTCATTTCCCTCGGGTTCTCCCCACTAGGTCTGCAGTGCCTTGGGGGTGACTGATGGCCCTCAGTGAGACCGGGTGGCTGTGTGGTTCTGAAAGTGAAAAGGAGCAAGTGTGGTTAGGGCCAGGGGCGTGGTTAGAGCCTGGAGTGTGGACACCCCGTGGACCGCTGGCCCATGGCCTGGCTTGGGGCCTCCCAGGGGAGCGAGTTGAGTGCATGTGGGGAGGGCCTGTCATTCTACGATGTGTATCTTTGTTTTTGAGACGGACTCGCTGTGTCGCCCAGGCTAGAGTGCAGTGGCACGATCTTGGCTCACTGCAACCTCCGCCTCCCAGGTTCAAGCGATTCTCCTGCCTCAGCCTCCCAAGTAGCTGGGACTACAGGCACTTGCTACCACGCCTGGCAAATTTTTGTATTTGTTTTAGTAGAGATGGGGTTTCACCATGTTGGTTAGGCTGGTCTCGATCTCCTGACCTTGTGATCCACCCGCCTCGGCCTCCCAAAGTGCTGGGATTACAGGCGTGAGCCACTGCGCCTGGCCCTGCCCAGCTTTTCTGCATCACCACCGTCGTGTCAGTTAGCTCAGCTCAGGCATTGCACACCTAATCTGTATCTTTGGGAATCCTGTGAGCTAATGGTTCTAGATCCAAAAGAATGGATAAAGAGAATGTTTCAAGTTCCCGAAATTATCCAGGCACATCCTGTGCACTACTGAACTTCAGAAAGCACCAGTCCATCCAGTGTGCAGAGTCTGGTAAATGGGCCAGCCGTGGGCACACACAGGCTCCCCAGAGACCCCGGGGCAGAGGGTCTTCCAGCTCTTCCAGGACAGGGCTAATCCGTTCCTGGGCCAGGGGTGGATCTGTTTTGCAGGTTTGCAAGGGTGGGGAGACGCCAGCCTGGCCCATGGGCTGTCCATGCCAACCCCCCACAGACCATGCTGCCATCCGGAGGGGATGCCACTTTCTCCTGGCCTCTGGGATGCACAGGTAAAGCATGGAAGCAGCTGTTGGGGAGGAAAATGGCTCTCACCAGGCTGCTCTCGGGCTAATGAAAACTCATCCAGTTCTCCATGCAGCAGCAGCCAGCCTGGCACACGCTGCCCTGCCCTGCCCTGCCCTGCCCGACTGTGGAGGTGAGCGGGTCCCCCCGGGCCTGGGTGGAAGGACTGCGCGCCTGTCAGGGAAGGCCGAGGCTCTGGACAGGTGGGAAGCAGCCTTCTCCTTAATCACCCCATGTGGAAACCAATGAAAGGTTTGAGTCTCTCAGACCCGGGGTATTTTAGCCTTGGTTGAATCCTCCTGGAATTCACAGGGAAGTGGCTTTGCCCTCTGCCCTTGCTGCTGGAAGGCAAGGGGCCAGCCTTGGCTTGGTTTTCTAGGTTGTGTTACGGCAGCAGCTGACGGGCCCTAGGCCTGGATCTGCACGGCTTTGCTCAGGGACACCTGCCTCCGTTCTTGTCTGATGGTGTGAACGTGTCTCCTGCTCACAGGTACCATTTTGTGTCATGCAGTTACTGGAATGTACAAAAGCAGCTGTGATGTTTGCAAAGAGGTGCAGACAATTACAAAACCCATCTCCCAGCATGCGTGATGGTGAGAGCTGCAAAGAGCAGGAGTCTTTATTTGGTTCACTTCCGGTCTGCAGCAACCACTTGATATCAAAAAACGGAAAAGATGTACAAAAAGATGTCACATCCCTTTAGAAAGCGACATCATCAGAAACGTATGTGACCTTCAGTCCTCCCTCTCCTGTACCTCCCCCAGACCAGGCTGCGAGAAGGAACGGGGAGTGAACATATAACAACGGAAAACAATAAAACTGAATTTAACTGGAACATGCTCTAATCTTTAGTTTATTTCTGGTTAAAAATATAGCAATCCAGTGCAGTGTAGTAAAGAAGTCTGCTCGAAAGGTAGCAGAGAAACAGCTAAACATAAGCAAAGCAAGGCAGAGTCCATAAGACAGGCTGGCCCCAAGGCGACCGGATGGGGAATCCCTGCAGTGCCTCCCCGGGCACAGGAGTCCTGCATGTGGCCGTGCCCAGACCCCTCAGGCACGTCCATGCGCACGAGGGCCAGGGGCACTCGGACATCCTGGCAAACCTTGTTCTTTTGTTTGGGTGATGGAGTAACCCTGGTGAAGGCAGAAACATAAGGAACCTGTTTTTGTTGGACTGAAACAAGTTACATTGTACATTTTGGGGGGTTGGATATGCTACAATTTCTCAGGAAGTTTCAAGCCACTGGGTTTGAACCGCATTCCTGTCTTGGGACCAGGCCCACTCTGGTGTAGCACTGAGGCATCTGGAAGGAATATGCATATCTGTTAGGGGAAGTTGAGGCAGGCACAGTACAAAGATGTGAAAACCCGTGGAGGTCAGTAACCATGGGAGAAGGCTTCCTTTAGGGCCCTTACTCCTGGGGACACGGAAGCCCATGCGTCCACCCTGCACACCAAGTGCACACACCCAGAGCCCCGGCGCGAGGCCGACTCCACGGCACAGCCCCTCGGCTTCCATGCTTCGCTGAGCCCAGGCAGATTGGAGTGGGCCCCGGCTTCCCTGGGGTCTGGTGGGGGAAACGGCCGAATAGGGCCCACGGTGAGTGGGCAGCAGAAGAAAAGGGCTTTGCTTTAAAACTCGGTGTGGGGAGTCGGCTTCTCACGGAAGGCCGGGGGCAGTGCCGAGAAGAGGGAAGGACCTGCATCCGTCTCACGGGGAGGAGGTGGCCGACCCCTCCCCTCCCTCAGGTGTGCAGCACAGCTCTCACACAGAAAACGGCCGGGCTACTGCCCGCTGGGGTGGGCCACCCTGCCCCACGCCTCCCGCCCATACTTGTCACCCGTCTGTTCTAGACAGAGGAAGCAGTGAATCCACTTTTCCAAGCTCATGGCGACGGGAGCCAGCCCTGCTGCTCAGGGGGTGTGGGGCTGGGGCTCCGCCCCGGGCTGCCCTCCGTCCACACCCAAGGAGGAACATGTGACCACAAGGACGACGTCCACTGTTACCACTGATGTGCCGGGATCCCTTCTGTTTCCACGTGGAGCTGGAGGGACTGCGTGCTGGCCTCCTTCTGCCATGCCACACAGCAGAGTGTTATACAAGCAAAGAATTTTGGCTAAAATCCAAAAAACATTACCCAGAAAAAAAGGCAAACTGTGAGTGATACCGAATCACGTGGTTCTTCTGTGAGAGGACTTGGGAGCCACTGGGCTGTCCGAGTTGCGGTCTTTCCCTTGTGGTTTTGCTTTTAATGTCCCCTTTTCCTACCCTTTCTCTATTTTTGCTACCGCGACAGTCTCATCAGATGAAAAAGTTAATAAACAGAATGGCGACTCCGATGTTGAGCAGGATCACCATGGCCACCAGGATAGGAGCCGAGCCCTGGAAGAGAGCGAGGAGAAAGGTGAGCGACAGCCACGGGGGCTCTGCCTGGGCCACCACGCCTCCCAGCCACGTCTCTCCACCAAACTGGCAGACCCTGGGGGTGGAGGTGTGCAGGAGGATGTTTGAAACGGTTGGACACCAAAGGCCCACTGGAACCTGAGCCCCTCGAAGTCCAGACTGGGGAGGAAGCCACTGGCCTGTAAGTCTGAAGTTGTTGGTCTTGGAATTCCCTTGCAGCCCTGAGACCCTGAATACCAGCTCTCCCGGGGTCCCCTTGGAGAGAACCACCCCGGCCTCTCTGTAAGCAAACGTCTCAGTGCGTGCTGCGTGTGTGCCAGTCAGCAGGTTTCTCCTGCTCTGTGGAACTGGGACCTTGGAGCACTGTGATCAGAACCTCAGAAGCGCCTGCATGGCTGCCATAGCCAGTGTCAGATGCAGCCCAGCAGAGAGGGCCCTGGGACTCAGCAGAGGCCTCCCAAAGTCTGTGAGCACAGCTTCCTCAACGAACTCCTCATGCCAGCTAGCTCTGGAGGGCTGTGTCCAAATGCAGGCTGCCTCGGACTCAGGTCACAGTCCTGAGTGCTGCTGCCACCACCTCCCTGAAGTGGCTCACGAGTCCTCAGCCTCTACCAGAGCCCCAAGTGCCAGGCTCTCCCTTCAGCCGCACAGCCCGGGCACTTGGACCAAGCTGCCACCTTCCCTGTGCTTGTTGGGGCCAGGCAGGACACGTCTCGCACCAGAGCCTCTGCCCGGGGCACCCTTCTGCAGTGATTCTTGCAGTCCCGCACCCCACTGTCTCAGGCTCACACCAGGCAGGGGTGAGAGGCAGTGTGGCCCCTCTGGGAAGCCCCCCGCCTCTGCTGCATAGTGAACGGGTGCCTCCTGGAAGATGGCCCGCCCCATGAACAGCAGGGGGTACCCACTCCAGCCTTGCCCAGGGGCTGCTTCTAGAGGACACTTGCCCCTGACCCCCGCCCCTCCCCACACTCCGCATCTCACAGCTGCCTGGAAGGAGATGCAGACCCCACTCAGGAAAGGAGCTGTATGGGGACCTGCCCAAGGCAGGAGGCTGCTCAGAGAGCCCGGTCCATGGAGCCTCCACTCAAAACCTTGTGTGCGCACACACTCCCCGCAGCAGGAATCAACAGTCACGAAGTGGAAGCAAAGCCAGCCGTCTGGTGGCGGATGAACGCAGCCAGCAAAACGGGCCGTGCAACAGCAGACGCCAGCCTGTGGTCCCCTTGCCTAGCCTGGATGCCACATCCCGCAGGAGAGAAGCAGCCTCCTGCTGGACTATCTGGCCTGGGGGCCCTTTTGTCTCCCGGGTCAGTTTCACCCTTTCCCAGGCTGTGCCCCCAGTGAAGCAGCGTCGTAGCCAACGTTGAAGGCCCTGATCCCAGCACCTAGGCTGGTCTTCCCCGGGCACCCGCTTGAGCACGAGGCCCAAAACAGCCATTGCCTGGGGCACTCGGAACCCATCACGCCCTCGCCCCTTCCCAGCCTTCCGGCCCCATGGCAGAGGCCCTGCCTTGAGCAAGCTGCGGCCCCTCCTCCTCCTCCTGGTCCAGTCCCGCCCACACCTGGGTGCCCACCTCCCCTCCCTGTGGTCTCCAGGAGCTGCCCCCACATGCCCTGGGCAGCACTGCTCATCGTGGCCCCATCTGTGGCCTGGGCAGGCTCTAGCCACTTCTGCGTCGGCACGGTTTCCTCGGGAGGCCCCTGCCAACAGCCACTCGGCATGGCAGCGGCAACGGGAGGGAGTACTCGCCTCTGCCTGGCCCCAGCTGGTGGTTTTCCATTTGGATTCGGAGACAAGCAGCCAATGAGCCTATCTCATTCCCGTTAAACGTGAAAGAAACACGTCCAGATGCCATCCTCAGGTCTCTCACAGCCCCGCGGGGCTCTGCACCACACCTGCCAGGGGCACCTCCTGCTGTGTCCCGGGTATCAGCTCCCAGGCCTAAGCGCCTCTCACACTGGGGACTGGAGCCCTCATGCCCTAGAGACACTGGCTTGAGAAACTTTAAGATGGAATCTTTTTTTTTTTTTTGAGACGGAGTCTTGCTCTATGCCCCAGGCTGGAGTGCAGTGGCTCAATCTCGGCTCACTGCAAGCTCCGCCTCCCGGGTTCAGGCCATTCTCCTGCCTCAGCCTCCCGAGTAGCTGGGACTACAGGCACCCGCCACCACGCCCAGCTAATTTTCTTATATTTTTAGTAAAAATGGGGTTTCACCATGTTAGCCAGGATGGTCTCGATCTCCTGACCTTGTGATCCATCCGCCTCGGCCTCCCAAAGTGCTGGGATTACAGGCTTGAGCCACTGCGCCCAGCCTAAGATGGAATCTTGTTCTTGCCCAGGCTGGAGTGCAGTGGCATGATCTCAGCTCACCACGGCCTCCACTTCCTGCCAGGTTCAGGAGATTCTTGTGCCTCAGCATCCCAAGTAGCTGGGATTACAGGTGCATGCCACCATGCCCGGCTAATTTTTGTATTTTTAAGTGGAGGTGGGGTTTCACCATGTTGGCCAGGCTGGTCTCGAACTCACAACCTCAGGTGATCCACCTGCCTCGGCCTCCCACAGTGCTGGGATTATAGGTGAGCCACCCTGTCTGGCCAAGAAACTTTTTGGAAAAAAGTTTGCTCAACAGACAAGCTGAACCCCAGTCAGCAATGGGCTTTGTAAACTGTACCCCTGGGGATGCAGCTCAGAGAGGAGGGTCCTCAGAGGGTGATGTCCTGCCGAGGGAGGCACCTGCAGCCACAGCAGCACCAAGCCAACCCCCCTCCACAACCTCCCAGCCCATCAGGGACCTGAGGCACAGATGGAAGTGGAGGTGTGGACACAACGAGGGCCTCCACTCAACCACAGAGAAAGCTGGCCCGAGCCCTCTGCACCAGGGGCAGCGGCCTGAGCCCGGCTTTCCGTGGCATCTTGGCCTCGGGCAGATACACTGTGAGTCTTGGGCCCTGTGATAACTTGGTTGGGCCAGGCCAACCCGCAGGGGGGCAGAGAACAGCCAAGGGCCCAGCCCTGCCCACTGATGCCACCCCTCGTGCAAAGCCCCACCATCCCAGCTAGGAGGAAGGGCTGGGTGTTAGTCGGCCTACAGTGGGGGAGCAAGATGGAGTGGGGTGGTCAGTGGCACCTCTTCTGCCACTGTCCTGTCCATGCTCTGGGCCAGGAAGCAGATATGCATGCTGTTGGCGAGGGCATGGCTGCCTGCAGGAGGGAGGCTCCTGTCTACCCAGCCATCCCCCTACCTTGGACCTCCACCAGCAGGTCATAGCTGTCATTTCACCAAGAGGGAAGCTCAGCCAGGACCACAGAGTTCAGTCACCGGCAAAGCTGTAGGGAGAACCTGTGCTTCTGTCCCACGGGACTTTGCGCTGAATTGCCAGGGCCCTATGCAGGCCAGAATCCCAGGCCCATCTGTAGCCAGTGGTACCCA